TTGACCTCCTTGGGCTTTACAAAGGCCTTGATAGCCTCAGTACGTGCGCTCATGGCCTTAGGCATTGTTGGCCTGCATCTTCAAACCCTTCTTGTTGTGCTTCTTGGCAAAGTGCGTGTTCCTTAGGAACTTGGGGTCTACCCCTTAAGAGATTTGTATCTCTATGCTCAGGGTTTCTTGATGCAGTTTCTGTGCCATTTTGGGGACTGGTTGTGCGTGGTGTGGTTCTTGGACTTGGCCATCTCTGCACCAAAGCCTGCGGCTCTCGAAGAGCCTGGGACCAGAAGAGAAAGAGCTGCAGCAGTTTTGACTATGATGTGTCTAAGACTTTTTTTTTCTGAGGGTTCTCTGAGTTTTTTGGATCTATGGTATTATAACTTTCATTTGTTTTTCTGTTTGTTTTAATTTTTTTTCTTTATTGATTTTAAAGGGAGAGGGAGAGAGAGAAACATCGATAAAAGAGAACATATCCTGGCTGCCTCCTGCACGCCCCCCAGTGGGGATTTGGCCCACAACCTGGGCATGTGCCCTGACTGGGAATCGAACTGGCAACCTCTTGGTGCATGGATCAACACTCAACCACTGAGTCACAATGGCCAGGCTAACTTTCATTTGTTTTGACAAATACACTCAGCCATGATTATGTCTTCAAATATTTTTTTTGCCCCATTCTCTCTGTTTTCTCCATCTGGGCTATAAATGTTTGCTATTGTCCCATAGCTCTTAGATGCTCTGTTCTTTTGTTTCCTCCCCTTCCTCCTCCTCTTCTCTTTCTGTCTCAATCTGGGTAATTTCTGTAAATCGTTTCCATGTTTCTTGGCTGTGTCAAGTATACTTATAAGGTCATTGAAAGAATTTGTTATCTTTGATAGTGTGAAGTTTTGTTATTTGTTTCTAGTATTTCCATTTGACTTTTGTATAGTTTGCATCTCTCTGCTGAAATTTCTCATTTTGTCATGTTTCCCACATTTCCCTTAGATTATTTAACATATTCATAGTTATTTTATTTATTTAAAAAATTTTTTCTTCTTTATTGATTTTAGAGAGAGAGGGAGAGAGAGAAGCATCAATGAGAGAGAACATCGACTGACTGCCTTCTGCATGCCCCTGACTGGGGATTGGGCCCACAGCTTGGGCATGTGCCCCGACCAGGAATCTAACCGGTGACCTCTTGATGCATGGGTCGATGCTCAACCACTGAGCCACATCAGCCAGGAAATCATAGTTATTTTAAAGTTCTCCTCTGATGGTTCTAACATCTGGAGCTTCCCCGAGTATGGTCCTAAAATTTGATTACTTTATTCCTTGACACTGGATTGTTTCTCCTTGATCTTCTGTGTGCCTCATAATTAAAATTAAAAAAAAAAAAAATACTGAACACTGAGTACCAACAGTGTTGATTTTGTCCTCACAAAAAAGAATTATCTCGCCCAAAATGTCAATAGCACTGAGGTTGAAAAACCCTAACGTAGAGAAATAGAGACTGAAGTTAACAGTATTTACAATTGAAAGTGGGCACACTTCTGTCAGGTTATTAGTGTGGGGATTGAGTCAATATAGGTAGATGTTAAATCCGGTCTTGTCATTATTCTATTTATCTTCAGTGTCCCACAGGGTTCAAACTCCTTTACCTTGTGCTTATAGTGTGGGCTGGGGTGCCAGAGTTTACTGCCACGCCTGTCCCTCCCTCTATGGTAGAATGCTGCTGCTGATTACTTAGTGCTAGGCTCGTGGACATGTGGGTAGAGGTTCTCTGTTGACCTGGTCCAGCCTCAGTCTTAGGCCTCGTGGGTCTGGGGCTTGGGGATGGGGCTTTCTCAATATTCCTGCTCTCTTCCTGGTGACAGCAAACCTCTGCATGGTGTCAGTTATTGGTCTTGATTGGGACTTTCTTCCCTCTCTTCCAATGGTAGCAAACCTCTGTTTGGTATGGATACAGAATTCTGAGCCCAGAGTTTCCTGACCTTCTCCCAACGGTAGACGGATTTTACTTCAATTTTTTTCCCCCATGCGGCAATAAAATTTTGTCTACCCTTTTAAAAGTTAGAGAATTTCCCATCCTCTTTTGGATTTGGTATTACTGGGTTTTTATTTTCTTCCTCCCCTGGCTGAAATGGATCTTTGCCTGTACCCTGAAGGAAAGAGAGTTTGCTGCTTTTGCTTTCTAGGAGAAAAAGAAAGTGGGTGGGGGGTTGTGCCTGTCCCCCAACAGTTGTATGCCTGCCCCACAAGGGGTTTTTCTCCAGTCTCTATCTGTCTCCATCTTTCTTGTGAAGAAATAATTCTAGTGGAGATTTATGGAAAAGTACTTTTGACTGAATGTAAACTCCCTTTGTATCTGAGGCCCCCTACTACTCCAAACTGACATGTTGGCTTACATTTGGCCTCTAAAAATTTATTAAAATTTTAGGCGATTTCCTCTTGCCCACTTGTATGGCAGCCACTTCTTTCTTCCACGCTCTGCTTACAGTGAGGGGGTTCTTATGTTCCATCTCTTTTTGGAGAGTCTTGTCCCTCTTAGAATTCAGTTTACTTGCCCTGGCCGGTTTGGCTCAGCGGTTGGAGCGTCGGCCTGCGGTACAGAGAGACCCAGGTTTGGTTCCTGCTAAGGGCACGTACCTCGGTTGCAGTTTGTCCCCGGCCCTGGTTGGTCGTGCGGGTGGCAGCCACTCGATGTGTCCCTTCACGTCGATGTTTCTCTCTCTCTCTCTTCCTCTCTCTCCCTCCTGCTCTATCTGAACAAAAAATGGAAAAATGTCCTCGGGTGAGGATAAAAAAAAAAAAAAAAAAGAATTCAGTTTACTTAGTTGCTTTGCAGCCTCAGCTCTCTCAGGGGCTCCAGAGAAGTTATGATTTTGTAGATTATCCAGTCTTGTCTCATTATGATGTTGGGAGTGATGACCTTTGTATTTATACATTCTAAGCCAACACCAAGAATCTTGATTGAATGCATACTATGTGCCTGGCATTGTTCTAGGTGCTGGGGGTAGGGAGGCAGACCAAACAGATCCACTCTCATTTGAAATTTATATTCAACTGAAGGGAGGCAGATATATTTACATATTATAGTACCAGGTGGTAATAGGTTCTATTAAGAACACTTAAGCAGATGAGAGAAAAGACAGTAATAGTATTTGCCCCTTCCCTTATACCTGACTATTGGTGTGGACACTGTCTACACTTCAGTGAACTTTTTTCTTCTCCTCAGGGATCTGTGTTAGAGAGTTGAGTAAACATAACCTACCCTAATCTAATACATGACTTGGTAAGATTTCAGCTCCACATAGTCAATGGGACCATAATCCCCATCAGAAAGGATATGACTGTTCCTTATGAACAAACAAGCCAGGTGCTGTTTAAGGACAAACTAGTACCTATAGACCCAAAATAGAGGGGTATGTACTTTGACTCAAAATAAAGAACTTTCAAATAGTCATAGCTATCTGCAAAAATAAAAAGGGATATTGTTCCGGAAGGTAATACTTTCCCTTCCTTGGAAAAGTTCCACCTGTTCCTGGAAAGTTTCCAACTTCCCCTGAGGGTATCTAACCAGACAGGTGAGGTGAACGGTCCTAGCCTCTAAAAGTAGAAGGCCAGCTCAGCCGGTGTGGCTCAGTGGATAGAGTGACCTCCCGTGGACTTGGAGGTCCCAATTTGATTCCAGTCTGGGCACATGCTCTGGTTTCGGGCTCGATCCCAGTAGGGGGAGTGCAGGAAGCAACAGATCAATGTTTCTCACATCAATGTTTCTATCATTCTCACTTCCTCTCTCTCTGAAAAATCAATAAAAACATATTTTAAAAAATAAAATAAAAGTAGAAGGCCATTGCCAAAGGCTTTTCCTAGGAAGCCACTCTCCTGGGCTGCTCAGCACTGATTCTTCACCTGTCACCCGGTTGTTCAGAGGAGTAAACCAAGCTTCAGCAAAGAGTAATGACTTGACCAAGATCACAGAACCAGGAGCTGGGTGGCTGAATTGGGCTGGGTGCCAAGGTATCGCATTTGACTCCAAAACCTGTTATCCTTCCCTGCACCTCCCAACCTCAGGCGGCATTTTCTGGTGTAAAAGAGGCAACTTTCCCAAGTTCAAACCCTTCCAGCTGGTCATGTTAGACGCAGCCTAAGGTGCTGGAGACGTCTAGCTGCTAATCTGTACTCATCAGTTCTGGCTGAGCACCTTTTGCCTCAGGAGAACGGCTCTCTCCCTGACCTTCCACCCAAACTGATCCCTTAAGAAAATCCATTTCAGCCGGCAGGTGTGGCTCAGTGGTTGAGCATGGACCCATGCACCAAGAGGTCAACAGTTCAACTCCCGGTCAGGGCAGGTGCCCAGGTTGTGGGCCAGATCCCCAGTGGGGGGCATGCAGGAGGCGGCCCATCGATGTTCTCCCTCATGGATGTTTCTCTCTCTTCCTTCCTCTCTCTAATATCAATAAAGAAAAAGACAAAAGGAAAAGCCATTTCGATGTAGAGAGGATCCCACCTGGGGCAACAAGTAAAAAGTTAGGGGACGAACGAAAACGCGGCGTCTGGACTGGAGTCTCCTCTGTCGGGTGTGGGAGCCGGCCGGTAGGCCCTTTCCCTCAAGTTTCCTCCTTCGCCCCTTGAGTGACTGGTTCTGGCGCACTCACGAAGAGGAGGTGAGATGACCTTCCGTTAGTTGAAATGGCACTCTACCAGTCGAAACGGTCGAGGTTCCGAAGGCCGTGCGCATGGGAACCAACAAACCTCCCCAGGCCCGGGTTCGCCACCCCACTGCCCCGCACGAATGGCCAGGGAAAACCTGGAAAAGGCGCGCAACCCTCCTGCGCACGCGCATGTAGCGTCAGGAGGGCGGGGCTCGAGTGGGCGGGGCCGGCGGCACCGCTAAGCGAGGCCCTAGAGGACAGCAGCGCGTGCGCCCCGGTTGTGGGCGGGGTTGTGGGCGGGGCCTGGGGGAGCGGGAGCCTGGCTGTCACGCGCAGCCCCACCCCCTGGGCCGTAGTCAAGCTCCGGGAGGCGGCAACCGCTCCTGCTCGGCCCTTCCCGGTTGGCTGGGCCGGCTGCGCCTCGGTTCTCTGGTGACTATGGGGGACCCCAGCAAGCAGGATATCCTGGCCATCTTCAAGCGCCTCCGCTCGGTGCCCACCAACAAGGTAACGGCCGCCGGGCGAGTTCAGGCTTGCTTGGCATCCCCGCCGGACCCCGCGGGCGCCTCCTGCGACGCCAGTGTCCGCGGCCGCGGGAGGAGGAGCCGGCCCGGCCTGTGACACGTCGCACTTGCGGCCGCGGCAGCTGGGCCTCTCCAGGGTCCGAACCGCGCGCCGCCCCCCAGCTTCAGCAAAGGGGGAGCGGGGAAGGGGCACACACCCGAGGCCGCGGGCGGGGCGGGCAGCCGGGCCCTGGGGGCGGGAGGCGAGAGCACCTTGGGGTCCTAGGGGCCGGGGGACAGATACTTATGGGTTCCTGACACTTGGCTGAGGAACATACATGGGGGCGGGGGCGGCTTTTGGGGTGGCCGAGTGAACACGGTGAGTTCCTGAGAGCTGGGGCGAGCTTGGAGGTCCCGAGAGAGGTTGGGGAGGATACTTCGGGGTTCCTGCGAGTGGGGCACCTGTGACCCAGCTGGGAAGCATGCACCGGGTCAGAACTCCAGCTGGTAGCACTGGGCATTTGGGAAAGCTCGGCTCGCCTCATCCCCACCCTCGAACGGACCCCTCAGGGGCGCCTGCTGGAGCCTGATTGCTTCCCTGTGTCCCTTGATGGCAGCGTCACTGTTCCTGCTGATAGAGCTGCCAAGGGGTCTGCGCAGTGGCTTCCAGCTCTTTTCTCTTTCTAAGAAAGCCCAACACAGGCCCTTTTCCTTCCTTCCCTTCGGGACTGTTTGGAGATGGGAGTTTTCCCTTTCCTCCCACGTCCAGGGGCTGCCCCCTACTCCACCCCACACCCACCCCTACCCCATGACTTTTACAACTTTTGGAAACTGGCTGGAGATGTGATGACGCATTGGGCCAAAGTGATACCTCCTCTGAGGATCACAGGTCTGGATCACAGGTCGGAGTGGAGCCTGGAGAGAGCAAAGGGCTGTCCTGTCATCGTGGACTCTCTCCTCTCCTGTCACAGGAGTTCTGTCTGCGACCCATCGTCACCTCCAAAGTGAACAGCTGTTCACCAGCATGGTCATAAGCCATGACATGATGGCATAGAAAGTTCCTGAGTTTTACAAAATTTGGATGTCTTTATTTTAAGCCTTGATGGTGGAGGGGAGCCCATAATTTTACAGCCTTAGGAGTGAGAAAGGAAACAATTTATTGCAAGTGATAGCTGATGAAGGCAGAGCAGTCAGGAGGAGAAAGGCTCCAGGAATTCTCCAGTGCCCATTTCTTTGCTGTTTTATCTCTTTTTTTTATCCTCACCCGAGGACATTTTTTTCCATTTTTTTGTTCAGATAGAGTGGGAGGGAGAGAGAGGAAGAGAGTGAGAGAGAGAAACATCAACATGAAAGGGACACATCGAGTGGCTGCCACCCGCACGACCAACCAGGGCTGGGGACAAACTGCAATCGAGGCACGCGCCCTCAGTGGGAACCAAACCCGGGTCTCTCTGGACCGCAGGCCGACACTTTAACCACTGAGCCAAACTGGCCAGGGCTCTTTGCTGTTTTCTTGACTTTCAAATTTAGAGTCATCTGTTAATAACGAGTGGTTCCTGTATATCTAGACAACATTCAGATCTGCAGTTAGCAGTGTAGAAGCTATATTTTTTGGTCTGTTTTATCTCAGAAACATAACATGTACACCCTATTCTCTTTGATGGGATACACCAAAGGAAAGGTGCCCTTTTATTTACTTGCTTATTTTTCTTTATTGATTTGAGAGAGAGAGGAAGGGAGAGGGAGAGAGACGGAAACATCGATGAGAGAGAACATAGATTGGCCAGCTCCTGCATGCCCCGCACCGGGGATTTGGCCCACAACCTGGGCATGTGCCCTGATCAGGAATGGAACTGACGACTTTTGGCTCATAGGTTGTCACTCAGTCATAGAGCCACACCAGCTGGGTGGAAGATGCCCTTTTAAAATGAAAAATCAGTGTCTTTCTACCAAGAGACACTTTGAGGGAGATAGCTGGATGCGCTTGTAACTTGTTATCCAGACTCTGCTGCTCTCCAGCTATGTCACCCTGGGCAGGTTACTGGAACACTTACTTTGTGCTTACTTACATGGGCAGGATCTAACTCGGAGGGTTATTGTGAGGATTAAATGAGAAAATCCCAGAAAAGCACTTAGAGCAGTACCTGCACCTACTAGTCTTCAGTACTTGTCAGCTGTTTTTATTATGAAGAACACATCTTTGGAACATTTTATATTCTGTAGTAGGATTAATAAAAGCATTGAGCAAAATATTTTCTAGGTAATGTCCCATAGTATTGTGTTACATTTCTTGATTAAGACTTTATTTGATCGTTAGTAAGAAACAGTTACCTAAACAAAGGTGAAAACTAGTTTTAATGACGTGAAAGAGTCGGATGACAATAGCATTTTCGAAAAGGGTTCTAAAAAGAAGCTCTAAGTAAGACACGCGAGACAGGAAAAGTAGGTAAAGAAAGACAACTCGGTTGACTTTCAGAATGTGGTATCCAATTTCTTCCCTTGTGTGTGATGGCCATTACTCTGGACCCAAGGTTTCAGCTCATAAGGGTCAGTTTTCTAGTTTGTGAAATCCTTCCTTGAAGCTGTACTGTCCCTTGGTTTTATATTGATTGCTTGAGTGATTCATTCAGCAGATATCCATTGAGCACCTGCAGTGTGCTGGGCACTGTGCCAAGCACTGAGGGTACACTGATGTAGCCTCAGCCAAGGGGCAGGCTCCTGCCTTCAGGGGGTGGACAGTCCAGCGGACAAAGGATGAGTAAAGGGCTGCCTGGTGAAGGGGGAAGAATCTCCACGTGGATTGCCTGGGGTCCAGTCCCTGAGGCACCATTCTTAGCTGTGATACTTCAGAATTCCTTAATTTTCTCTAAAATGGGGGTCAAAACTGCACTGCATAATTTTGGGGACTGCAGAATGGAAACACACAGCCCTCGTTTGAAAAGTGTGAAGAATTTCAAGATAAGACAGCAAAGCGCTAACCGACCATGGGCCCTTCTGAGTGTGGGGCCCTGCGGGACTGCACAGATCATGCACACACCTTGGAAGCTGGTCCCAAAGGGGTAGTAACAGTACCTTCTGGTAGGGTTGTTATGAAGATTCAGTTGGCCAGTAACAGTGCGTGACAGGGAGTAAACACTCAATATTAGCTATTATTTTTATAGCAACTAGTCTCATCCTTAGGTAAAACAAACGGTTAGTCAAAACTGTTTCTTTTTTAACACCATAATAACTGATATTCTGCTTAGAAAAGAGTGTCTGAACTTTGGTTCGGTCGCATATCAACACAAAGGGCAGCCCCCGCTCTCAAAGTACTACCTCCCGACCTCCAGTCCCACAGGTCCCAGTCTAACTCATTAGCTCTTCCACCCCTCCAAACTGCCCCACTACCTGTATTTGGATTTAATGCCACTTGGTGCCAGGCTGGGTGCTTAGCTCAGCTGACCAAAATAGACTGAGCCCCACCCTCATGGAGCTACATTCTAGCGAGTCCTTATCTCAGTTGGTGGGGCAGGAGGATGCTGAGGTCACCATGGTAGGAAGCCCATGTTCTCTTCTTGTAGCCAGCCTTTCGACCACCTTGGGAGTGGTACTCAGACTTGCTTACTCTGGGCTGTGCACACCTAATCTCTGCTGTCACCTCCGCCCACAGGGCCATTTCCTGCACAGGCTTTTGCCACTTACTGCCCTTCTAGACTCTTCTTGAGACCCCAAATGCCTCTTGGACCCTGTCTAGGAAACTTTTTGTATCCTGTCCTTGCTTCCTGAGATTCAAGTGTGTAACTAATTGGCTTTCCCACTAGACTGCTGGTCTGTGGGCTCCAGGCACACCTGCTGAAACACCTCTGTACGTCCACTTTGTGTGCTCCAGGTACATACTTGATTGTACGTACAACACAACTGTCAGTTGAGTAAGTGAGGGATTACAAATGGCCCTCGCAGAGGGACAGCACCTTCGGCACAGTCGGCACAGTCTGATGGCTGTTACCACAGGGCGTCTGAATTTTCATGTCCTCTCCCAAAGGGCAGCATGCGCCTGGCAGGGGGTAAGGGCTCAGCAAGTGTCTGTGGAATCAGTGATGCCATCTACCTCTTAATACCTCAGTGCCTGCCCCAGTGTCTGGTCCCTGCACCGTTGAAGTGAGTGGCTGGTACCTTTCATGTCAGTTGTCACTCCCACAACTCACGCATGCTTAATGTGAGCCCATCAGTGTGGGGCTCTGGAAACCCACTCATGTTTTCGCTCTTCTATTGCCCTCAAAAGGCCAGAAGCCTGGTTTTTCCTGACAGTTATAGTTGGGACAATCTTCACAATAGGTGGCTCTGCCTATAAAGTGTATCTAAACTATGGGTGCATTTTTTCTGGAAAAGAAACTATAATTCTCCTCCTAGTGGAAGTGTTACTATCCTGTTGTTCTGCCTTGAATTGTGTTCATTTCCATGACAAGCACTGCATATTTTAAATTACTGTTATGCTCCTGTTATCAGATGGAGGGTGTTTGACTTTGGTCAGCGCTGAGGAAGGAAGGCTCAGGGTCTCCTGAGGCCACAGTCATCTGAAAGCTGGAGTTTCCACTCCCGAGGCCACTCACGTAGTGGTCGGCTGGCTCCACTGGACTCGGGGCCTCCATTCCTCCCCGCTTGAGCCTTTCCACTGACCTACCTGAGTGTCCTCAAGACACGGCAGCTGGCTTCCCCCAGAGCCAGTGATAGAGAGAGAGAGAGAAAGGAAGTCATGGCGTCGTTTATAGCCTGATCTGGAAGGGACATACAGTATTTCGGCCATATTATGGTCACACAGACCACCCTGAAAGCGAGGGTGGATTGCACAAGGGTATAAACACCAGGAGGGGAGGATCATTGGGGGCACCTTGGAGTCTGGCCACCATACTCTTCTTCAGTTGAGAAGTGTGCACTCCTGCCATGTGGTATAGACCACTGTCCAGGGGACAGTGAGGCCTTGAGCATTCTCAGCATGGGGCCTCCCTGGCTAGTGTTCATTTATGTGACTGACGGAACCCTATCAATGCTTCGAGGCTAGGGAGTGTTTTAGATGATATACACACCTCAGTTCTCTTCACCACCCATACTGCACTGTGTTATAACAGATTCACAATAATGTGTAACTTACTATATAAGTAACATGTAGTAATATCATTCTATTAATATATAATTAATGGAATATAATATTATAATAATAAAAGAAGTTGAAATTTTAGGTTTTTATTTATTTATTTGTATTGATTTTAAGGTGAGAGAGAGAAAAACATCCGTTTGTTGTTCCACTTATTTGTGCATTCATTGATTGTTTCTTGTATGTGCCCTGACCGGGGTGTACCTGCAACCTTGGTGTACCGGGATGACACTCTAACCAAGCTACCTGGCTGGGGCCAAAGTTTAGGTTTTTAAAATCTAGATGAGATGGTTTCTGTTAGCCAGTAAATTATAAAGGTTAAGCAACTTTCAAGCTAAATCAGGTTGTGTGTCCCATGGGAAGGCTCATTTGGCTACTATAAAGTAATTAATAGTTGACTTTTCAATTTTTTTTTCAGGTGTGTTTTGATTGTGGTGCCAAAAATCCCAGCTGGGCAAGCATAACCTATGGGGTGTTTCTTTGCATCGACTGCTCGGGGTCACACCGGTCGCTCGGTGTTCACTTGAGTTTTATTCGGTAAGTGAAGCTGTCCCTGTGGGGGGTGGGAGGGGTTACATTGTCCCATGGGTCTCTTTCCACTTTTTCCTTTATGTTTCTTCTGACATCAAGTAAAATGAGAGGTTGGCTATGAGTTGTGGAGATTTAAGTCATAGAATTAACTAAACTGGGAAAATGGGTTGTTTTCTATTTCCTTACTGTTATATAGAGCTCCGTGTCAGACATGAGGCCATGGTGTGGAAGACAGAGGGGAGGGTTCGAGACAGTATTTCCTTTCCCTTTACGATCTTCTAATAACTTGCAGTACAAAGGAGTCCTGCTGAGAGAGTCACCGTAGAAGGGGACTCGGGTGCCCGGAGAGCCAGTGGCAGGACTCCGGCATAAGTGTCCAGCCCTGGCTCCCGGGCCACTCATACCGCATGAGTGATGATTTTGGTATGAATTTCAGTGGCAGTTTTAAATGCCTATAATATAAACATCTTGCCCTGGCTGGTTTTGCTCAGTGGTTAGAGCGTCGGCCCATGGACCAGGGAGTCCCAGGTTCGGTTTCCGCTAAGGGGACTTACCTCAGTTATAGTTTCTCCCCAGCCCCGGTTGGGGTCATGTGGGTGGCAACCACTGGATGTGTCTTTCTCACACTGATGTTTCTCTCTCCCTCTTCCTCCCTCTCTCCCTCCCAATCTGTCTGAAGATAAATGCAAAAATGTCCTTGGGTGAGGATTAAAATATATATATATGTCTTTCTTCTCTTTTCATCTGAAGTCTTGGGCTGCATGGACTCCTTCTGACAAGCTCCAATCTTCCACTCTGACACTGGTATGGTAGTAGCCTGGATGGGCCTTTGTGTGCAAGAGAGAAAAGGGCCCCCTCTGGGCACACATGGCCCCACAATCCAGTGGGAGCTGGCAAGTGCCCTGGTGTGAGGTAGAAGAGAGTGAAATAATATAAGAAATAATGAAAGGGTTCCAGCAGGGCTCAGGGCTTGGAAGCCGAGCGAGGCCTGCACTTCAGCAGCCGTGGGCCTAGGCCGGGCGCCTCCTTGCGGCCCTGTGGGATCTGTGTGTTTGCCGGCCACCTCCAACCACGCCACCTAGTTCCCTGCCACTGCTTTTCCCAGGGAAGGAGCCAGCGAGGCAGGCGGGCTGTTTGTACGGTGAGCGATCTCATCTTACCTTGACCTAAGGAATACTGATACACACAATTACTATAAAGAGCATTCGTTCCTGAAGGATCAAGTCTTATAATGCATAATGAGATATTTCGTATGATCGCACAAAAATAAATAGTAATAATAGCAACATAATTCCCTTTTTTAATATATTAATTTATAAAAACTTTTCTGGTGAACTTTCCTGAGTTCTCTTTTCAGAAATCAGTTTGCAAAGGCCTGATGTGACATTTACAGCCATACCACTCCGTAGGTGTATCTAGAAAAGGGAGTTCTTCTGTGTGTTCTTACTGTTTTAGAGGATCTGTCAGCTTTTGCCTTCTTTTTCCCTAGCTGTAGGTCTCAGAATATTTTGAAATTACTATCCTGTCCTTGTCTCCTTTTTAAATATTGAGGGATTTCATTGCCAGGGCAAGTTTATTTTTAATGTACTTCCCTCACACCCCTAAATGAGTTGTTACCAGTTAACATGGTGACTTGCTCTGCCCAGAGCCCAGAAGGCAGGACTCGAGGCAGTACCTAGTTGGTTGTCTTTCTTTCTCTTTCCTGTATTCTTTTCCTCTTTTCCTCTGCCAGGCCCTGCCCTTTGTAGCCTGGCCCTCCCTCTTCCTCATTGCTAAAACACACTGGCAGTTTAAACCCTTCCAGGAAAGGAGGTGGTTTTCTGACGTATTCCTCAGTTGAGGGAAGGGCTGAGCTGGAGCCTGGTGAGCCTGGACAGCAGGGTCTGTTTGGGCTTCTGCAGGTTTAATCACTAGTCTTCTAGTGAGATCAATATATATAAAAAAAAAAGTCAGATAAATATAACTATGAGTCACAGTGCTTATAAATGATTCAAAAACAACTGTTAAAACTGTTAAGGGGCAGCAGTCTAGGATTTGGCCAAGACAAAGTCTAGGATGATAAGGGTACTTAGTATCTTTTTTCTTTTAAAGAGGTGGAGGGCTATTCTTTGAACAGTAAAAAAAAATTTTTTTTTCTTTATTGATTTTAGAGAGAGAAAGGAAGAGGGAGAGAGAAAGGAACATCGATGAGAGAGAACATTGACTGGCCGCTTCCTGCATGCCCCCCTGGGGATTTGGCCCACGACCTGGGCATGTGCCCTGACCGGGAATCGAACCAGAGACCTCTTGGTGCATGGGTCGACGCTCAACCAGTGAGCCACACCTGTCAGGCTGAACATTTTTTACTGATTAAAAAAATCCCAAACACTAGCTTATTGGGGACAAATGTTGTATCTTGACTCATGTAAGTTATAGAGGTTGTCGGGGAACCTATGTTCTCCTTTACATAGCTGGTTAACAGGAGCTTTTTGGTTAAACTGACACTGGTTCTTCAACTTTTCTTTTTTTCACTATTTACTTTTTTCTTAGCACTCAGATTCTCTTACATTTTACCATCTCTTAATCTAAATTCAACATAAGAAGTAACCTACGGTGAGTCACCTCCTTGTGTAGGAATGGGCACTGATGAGCAATTCAAGTTTCTTCTTAAGGTTGGCTATATTCAGAGTCCAAAAGGTTGTCATCACAACCTTTTGTTTTCAATTCCATTGTATGAGAGAGAATCCCTGTCAGCTCAATTCAAGAACAATTATCCCTGCTGGTGTGACTCAGTGGATTGAGCATCCTACCATGGATTTAAGGATTCTGGTTCGATTCCCAGTCAGGGCACATGCCCAGGTTTCAAGCTCAGTCCCCATTAAGGGGCATGCAGGGGGCAGCCGATCGATGTTTCTCTCTCACATTGATGTTTCTTCCCCTCTTTCTCTAAAAAAAAGAAAAAAATCATAAAAAAACATATTTTTTTAAAAAGAACAATTCGTTTTTTATATTTATTTCTAAGAAATATATTAAAATATTTGGCTTTATTATTATTATTATTATTATTTTATCCTCACCTGAGGACATTTTTCCATTTTTTGTTCAGATAGAGTGGGAAGGAGAAAGAGAGAAACATCAACGTGAAAGGGACACATCAAGTGGCTGCCACCCGCACGACCCAACCAGGGCCTGGGACAACTGCAACCGAGGTACATGCCCTTAGTGGGAACTGAACCCGGGTCTCTCTGGACCGCAGGCCAACACACTAACCGCTGAGCCAAACCGGCCAGGGCTATTATTTTTTTTATTATTATTTTTAATCTTCACATGAGGATTTTTTCCATTGATTTCTTAAAATATCTTTTTATTGATATGTTTTTAAATATAAATATGTTTTAAAAATATGGTTTTTTTAGGGAGAGAGGAAGGGAGAGATGGAAACATCGATTGGCTGCCTCCTGCATGCCCCATACTGGGGATTGAGCCCACAACCTGGGCACGTACCTTGACGAGGAATCGAACCGGGACCTCTCACTCCATGGGACAATGCTCAATCCACCTGCTGAGCTTTCCCATTGATTTTTAGATAGACTGGGAGGGAGGAAGGGAGAGAGAAAGAGAAACATCGATGTGAGAGACACATCAATTGGTTGCCTTCTGGACCACCCTGGCTGGGGCAGGGGATCAAACCTGCAATCCAGATACATGCCCGTGACCAGGAGTCAAACCCATGACTCTTTGGTCCAAGGGTCGATGCTCTAACCACTGAGTAAACTGGCCAGGGCTGGCTTTATTTATTTATTTTATCCTCACCCGAGGACATTTTTCCATTTTTTGTTCAGATAGAGTGGGAGGGAGAGAGAGGGAGAGAGAGAGAGAAACATCGATTTGAAAGGGACACATCGAGCGGTTGCCACCTGCACGACCCAACCAGGGCCCGGGACAAACTGCAACCGAGGTACATGCCCTTAGCGGGAACCCAACCCGGGTCTTTCTGGACCGCAGGCCGACGCTCTAACCGCTGAGCCAAACCGGCCAGGGCTGGCTTTATTTTTTTTTTAAGGAGAGCTTAAGACTAAAAGTTGTAAGGCAGATTAGCAAGTCTGAGGACTTGTAGCAGTTTTAGGACACAGTTAAAGTCAGGTATCTATTATGTGCCTGTGCCAGGAGTGTGAGAGAAAAATATGGAGCATGCCTGTCCTCTGGAGATTGCTACTGATAACACAGTGTGACAGTTACCATGATGATGATGGCGGTAATCACAGTGAGAATTTTAGCCACATGGTGTTTACCATGAGCCAAGCACTTTTCAGATATTAGCTTATTTAATTTCCACAGGAGCGAAATAGATAATCCTATAATTGTACCTACTTTACAGATGGGGAAAGTAAGGACCAGAGAAGTAATTTCTCCAAGGTCATGCATCTAGTAATGGCAGAGTTGAGATTTGCACTTTCTCTGTCTGTCTCCAGAGACTGTGTTGTTAATGACCACCCAATGATAGATGGGGAGGGGATGGCACCTAACTCATTGTGGTGGAGGGGTCATGACCATGTGGTGACTAAGCAGATTTTTCAGAGAAGGGATTTCAGAACAAGATATATTGTTTTTCTTTTCTTTCTTTATTGATTTTTAGAGAGAGAGGAGGGAAGAGGGAGAGAGAAACAGAAACATCAATGAGAGAGTACATCGATTGGCCACCTCCTGCATGCCTCCTACTGGGGATCAGGCCCACAACCTGGGCATGTGCCCTGACGGGGAATCGAACTGGTGACCTCTTGGTGCATGGGTCAACGCTCAACCACTGAGCCACACCGGCTGGGCTGAGATATATCATTTAATCACCTTGCTTGGTAATCAAATTCTAAAAGGAGATTTAGCCCTGGCCAGTTTGGCTCAGCGGTTGGAGCATCGGCCCGCGGACCAGAGAGTCCCAGGTTTGGTTCCCACTAGGGGCACGTACCAAAAAAAAAAAAAAATTAAAAGGAGATTTATTTTTGTCTTTGGGAAATATGTTTCTTATCAAGTATGGTTTCATGTTTACTCTTTATGTCCCCATGAAGTAGATATGTCATTTGTATATGTAATAATATGTATTAGTATCGTTATTCATTGTAAGTTAGCTAGGCTTCAATATAATATTCACAAAGGTTAAACGATACAAATAGGCATAGAAATGAGTAAATGGAAGGGCCCATTGTGTAAGGATAGCCTACCTATGCCCTTTCTAACCTGTCCACATTCCTGCACAGTCAGTGTGGGAGAAGCTGTTGTGGAATACAGGATAGCCTTGCTTTTGCTCATAGTTATCGACGGAATATAAAGACGTCCAGCCTTGTTGTGCTGTCCTGTCTTGTTTTGCACTGATCACTTGGTGGATTTTACTGCCTTTACCTTGCCCTGAGGTGACCTTAGCTTTCAAGCAAGCAGGGCATAAAGTGTGGTGGGGTAGGGGGCACTCGAGCTTTCACTGCTAAAGCATCCGTCCTGAGTTTTCTTCCTCCCTCGTGGTGGTGATGGTGGGTTGGTCCCTTCCACCTGATGGTGAATGATGAGCATCCTCCAGGGTCCTACTAGGTGTCAAACTGGACCCCTGAAAAAGTCCAAACAGGACATCTGTTCATTTATTTTATTTATTCATTAATTCATTTTGTTAATCCTCACCTGAGGATTTTTTTTTTTTTTTAGAGAGAGTAGGAGGGAGGGAGGGGGGCAGAGAGAGAGAGAAACATCCATGTGAGAGAGACACATCGATTGGTTTCCTCCCGCACGCAGCCTGACTGGGGCGGGGACTGAAAATGTAACCCAGGTACATGCCCTAGATGGGGAATCAAACCCTTCACACTTCAGTGCACCGGCTGACACTCTAACCACTGAGCAACACCGGCCAGAGCAGGACATCTATTCTAAATAGAGACACATTACCAAATTTTAGATAATGACCCACTAAGAATGTGAGGCAAAGAGTCAGAGTTGTTCCAACAGCCCCAGGAAGCTTGTGGTGTTCTGTTCCCTAGAAGACATGGCTGACTGCAGTCAATGCAGAAGTGTGGCTGGCCTGGCGTGGCCTGCCCGTGGTCGGGTGTGCAGGGTAGTAGGTGGTTGGGGTCATCAGAGCCTTGGCTTCTAGAAAGGATGAGAGGGGCCAGGAGCTGCTGTACCAACGGTCATGCACTTTGGAGTTCCAGCATCCTGGAAGCATGCGTCACTGTTAACACAAGCTTGGAATCTTCAGGATCCTGAGGATCAAGGAAATCTTGTTCTCAGTAGTTCAGTGGCTTGATTTTGGAGAAGAAAAGTATTAACATTTAAGAATGTTCTTTCCATTTAGATCTACAGAGTTGGATTCTAACTGGTCTTGGTTTCAGTTGCGATGCATGCAAGTTGGAGGAAATGCTAATGCAGTAAGTTCACTTCAGACTTGTTTTCCTTCTGTATAAATGTGTGTTCCACTGCTTGGGGGGCCCTGTCGGATAACAGAGAGACATGAGGGGCTTTGGAGTTGGATGACCTGGTTGACTTATTTATCCAAAAACACCTAAGAAACACGAAGCTTTGGACTAGATGCTAGGATATAGTGATAAACAAGACAAATGAGACCCTCCCTTTGATGGCAGAGACAGAGAGTCATTAAAGAAGCAGATAAACAAGAACCTAACAGGTGGTGAGAGTGCTTTGAAGAAAATTTAAACAGGAAGCGGTGATATAGAGGAATTGGGAGGCTTATGACAATACAGTTTTTTATTATGTGAGAGTGACTTTTGTGCTTAGAATTGAATGAATGCCTATAGCTGCTTACATCTGAATTTTAGTTTTTAATAAAACCTATTCTCCAAATTTTCAAATATAATATATAAAATCATATATTCATTTATAAACTTATTAATTTCTGTGCAAAAAAATAACCAATTATGTGGTCAGTGAATCTGTAATGGTAAAAGAGCAGACTTAAAAAAAATTTTTTTTTCTTTATTGATATTAGAGAGAGAGAGAGGAAGGGAGAGGGAGAGATAGAAACATCGATGAGAGAGAACATTAACTGGCCGCCTCCTGCATGCCCCACACTGAGGATCAGGCCCACAACCTGGGCATGTCCCCTGACTAGGAATTGAACTGGTGACCTCTTGGTGCATGGGTTGATGCTCAACCACTGAGCCACACCAGCCAGGTAAGAGCAGACTTTTTAAACCCTACTTACAAACCTAACTAAGGATCCTCAAACATTTTAAACTTGTATCTGATTTCTCAAACTCTAAACTGGCAGCTGTAGAAGCCTAGCCAGCAAAGTCACTCAGGGCACTGATACCCTATTTATAATGCCAAATAGTAGAGGGTTAATGAATAGGATCCCATAGACATGCCGTTAAACATTAAAAGTGTAAGAAATCAAATGTCATACATTTCAAATAAAAATTGTATCTAGCATCAATTTGATATTTAAAATTATAATTGTGCCCAGCTGGTGCAGGGGGCTGCCAGTTAATGTTCTCTCTCATCGATGTTTCTATCTCTCCCTCTCCCTTTTTCTCTCTAAAGTCAATAAAGAAAAAAATTTTTTAATAAATAAGTAATTAAAATTATAATTGTAAATTTAAAATAGTTTTCAAAATACCAGATTCCCTCGGATGAGTGTTTCTCGACCTTTTTTCATTATTGTTCATTTTTCTTTTAATAATTTTTTCCTTTATTGATTTTAGAGAAAGAGGAAGTGAAAGGGAGAGCGAGAGATGGAAACAGCAATGAGAGAGAACATCGATTGGCCGCCTCCTGCGTGACCCCCATTGGAGATCTGGCCCACAACCTGGGCATGTGTCCTGACCGGGAGTCAAACCAGCAACCTGTTGGTACATGGGTCGATGCTCAACCACTGAGCCACACCAGCTGGACTTGTTCATTTTGCTAAGCAGAAAAATTAAATTTAATTAAAAAAATTAAATTAAAAATTAAATTTAAATTAGATTATTTTAAATTTAAATTGGATTTAATTTTTCCCTAGTGAAAGAAATGAAATACCAAGGAACATGATTTTGTCAGGTAGGGGGTGAGCATTGGAGGGCCACAAACCATTGTAATAACTAAGATTTTTTTTCACTTTCCAAGAAACAATTTCAGCCCATTAAGAACTCATTCATGCCTTAAAATTTCAAGCATCTTATTTAGAAACCTGTGCCCATTATCATGATGTCCACAGACTTGTTCCAAAAGTTAATAATGTGGGTGTGTATTTATCTGTCCTTAATCCTAAGCCTTCCCTGCCCACCAGCTCTGCCTCTCACCTGTGTGACACTGGGCAAGTTGTTGAGCCTCTCTGTGCTTCAGTTTCCCCACCTGCAAAGTGTAGACAGTAACAGTGACGCCTGATAGTGTTGCTATGAGGATTTAATGGGATGGTGCCCAAAGAACCTAGAAGAGAATCTGGTACATGTGGGTGCGGGATACCATTATTAATCAAATTGGGCTAATAAATAGGTTGCTGATACAGGTTGTTGGAATACCTGCTTTAATTAAGATAGGAATTCTGTATTCATGGCTGCACATGGACCCTTATAGGGTGGTTGGAAGCAATTTCCTGAGTCTAATTGTTTAAGGATTTCTTTTATCACCTTGCCTGTGCTGTCTCTGTTCATGAAGAAATAGTGCCGAACAAGGTGAAGATTAGCCTTGCGCCTAACCAGTTTGTCAACAATTCCAATTTAGTAGAACCCAAATTGAAATGGATTTCTCATGAATTAAAAGCAGTCCTTTGTGGAAAATGTCCCCCCAATAACATTCAGAGTGACCGAGGTGATTTAATGGAGAAACTAAGGGCCAGGTATTTCATATTGTAACTCTTCTCATGTCATTTTACCAAAATATTAGTTAAATCTGTGGAAGGTATTCCCTCTTACAAGGAAAGATTTCTTTTTTTTCTATTTTGTGGTTTATATAATTTGGTTTTCACAAATATTTTCAGAAATCTTCATAACATGAAGTAGCATTTTTGGGCACTGTGCTCGATTTGCTGCAGTACTGCTAGTAGTCCGACCAGCCGCAGAATTGCTAGTAATCCGACCTGCCACGGTACCGCTAGTAGTCCGACCTGCCACGGTACTGCTAGTAGTCCGACCTGCGGCAGTACTGCTAGTAATCAGACCTGCAGCAGTACCGCTAGTAGTCCAACCTGCCACGGTACCGCTAGTAATCCGACCTGCCACGGTACCGCTAGTAATCCGACCTGCCACGGTACTGCTAGTAGTCCGACCAGCCGCAGAATTGCTAGTAATCCGACCTGCCACGGTACTGCTAGTAGTCCGACCTGCGGCGGCACCGCTAGTAATCAGACCTGCCACGGTACCGCTAGTAGTCCGACCTGCGGCGGTACCGCTAGTAATCCGACCTGCCACGGTACCGCTAGTAGTCCGACCTGCGGCGGTACCGCTAGTAATCCGACCTGCGGCAGCACCGCTAGTAATCCGACCTGCCACGGTACCGCTAGTAGTCCGACCTGCGGCGGCACCGCTAGTAATCAGACCTGCCACGGTACCGCTAGTAATCCGACCTGCGGCGGTACCACTAGTAATCAGACCTGCAGCGGTACCGCTAGTAGTCCGACCTGCGGCGGTACCGCTAGTAATCCGACCTGCGGCGGTACCACTAGTAATCAGACCTGCAGCGGTACCGCTAGTAGTCCGACCTGCGGCGGTACCGCTAGTAATCCGACCTGCGGCGGTACCACTAGTAATCAGACCTGCAGCGGTACCGCTAGTAGTCCGACCTGCGGCGGTACCGCTAGTAATCGGACCTGCGGCGGTACCGCTAGTAGTCCGACCTGCAGCAGTACCGCTAGTAATCAGAGTCCTCTCCTCTGCAGTCGTCCTTCTTCCATCAGCACGGGTGTGCCACCGGGGACGCCAACGCCAAGTACAATAGTCGCGCGGCCCAGCTCTACAGGGACAGAATCAAGTCGCTGGCCACCCAGGCTACGCGGAAGCACGGCACTGATGTAAGTGCGGCTTGACGTCAGCGCGGCACGTCAGCGTGGCATGACGTCAGCACGGCTTGACGTCAGCGCGGCACTGGCCTACATCTGTCCGTCTGGCATGATGTGATCCTGCGGGTTGGGTTTCCCCTTCAGAGGAACCTTCGTTTCAGTAGAAAGAGTGGTTTTCACCCCAAACACCCCTAAAGTTCCCAGCTTGAGCCGCTTCTCACTGTTGGGGACTGGCGCCCCGAGGCCGCAAACGCCGCACTAGGTTGCTGGGCCGGCCACGGGCAGGGCCACGGGCTCCCGCAGCTCTGGCCACGTTTTCGTGCCCTGGGCAATACTAGCCCTAGGTAACAAGCGTTTCTGTTTGAAGACGCCTTACTTCAAACAGGATACATTGTTGACCCGGACACTGAACCCGGCCAACAGCACTGTAAGTCATGCCTGAATGAAACCGCATTTCCTCCGGTGGGCGCATCACAGCCTCGTGTGCTTGGGGGCACTGGGTGGCACTTCAGCTCTATGCGCGGGGCCACATTACGCCATGAAATCGCCTACAAAAATCATAAAAGTGTGAGAACGTGGCACCAAATAGATCACGAAAAGGGCACTTGTTTCCAGTATGAGCTGAAAAAGGACAGAGCATCACCTGTTCAGCTGGCTGCAAACGAACACCTCGGGCGGCTCGGCTCCTTTGCTGCTCTGCGCATGTCTGTGAAGCACCAGAGCACGAGCACTGACCCAGGGCTACAAGCAGATTGTGGCGAGTATATGAATTTGCGAATAAGGAATCCACATAGGAGGAGGCTAAATGTGCACAGGGACCCTGTGTAGGCCTGTTACTGATTTTATAACAATGGAAAGTACCAGTGTTGACAAACAGGTCCCTAGAAAGGGTGTGGAGGTATTAAATAAAACTTTCAAAGCCAGGGGAGATACTAAACAGTATTTCATGTCTTGTTCTAGCTGTGGCTTGATGGTTGTGTGACTCCGCCTTTGTCCCCTACACCGAAGGAGGAGGACTTCTTTGCCACTCATGCTTCCCCTGAGGTATGTATTATATGCCTTACATAATTTTGCAGTGTACTTACTCTGACAGTTAGAAAGGGTATGTATTTTAAATGTTTCAGTTAGGCCCGCTGGTGTGGCTCAGTGGATTGTGCATCATCCCGTGGACTGAGAGGTCCTGGTTCGATTCGGGTCAGGGCACATGCCTGGATTGCTGGTCTATCCCAGTAGGGACGTGTGGGAGGCAGCCATGGATGTATCTCTCTCACATTGATGTTTCTCTCTCTCTCTCCCTTCCTCTCTCTCTGAAAATCAATAAAAACATTTTTTAAATGTTTCATTTAGGATCCAGGCTAAGCTGCTGTGACAACCGTGAAATATAGTCGCTTAACCAAGATAGAAATTAATTTCTCATCAGCAGTTCAGAGGTAGCTGTCCAGGGTTGACAGAGCGATTTCTTTTGTTATTCTCATGTGTAGCTTCTACCTCAGGGTCCAAAGTGGCTGCTCCAGTTCATGGCTTTTCCCAGCAGTGAGACACCCAGGAAAACAAGTGCCCCATCCTCTTACGGACAAAATCTGGAGGTAGTGCTGATCATTTCTGCCAAGATGCTATTGGCTGGAATTTAGTTGCGTGTCTTTTACCAGCTGCCAGGGAAGCTGAGAAATGATTCCTAGTAGTCTGCCACACTTCCATTCCGAGCTCTGGAACTGACAAACAATAAAGACAGTTTTTTTTAACCCCAATTTTTTTTTTATCCTCACCTGAGGACATTTTTCCATTTTTTGTACAGATAGAGTGGGAGGGAGGGAGGGAGGGGGAGAGAGAGAGAGAGAGAGACATCAGTATGAGAGAGACACATTGATTGGTTGCCTCCTGCATGACCCTGACCAGTGCCAGTGATCGAACCTGCAACCCATGTACATGCCCTTGACCAGAATCGAACCCTTTGGTCTATAGGTGGACGCTGTAACTACTGCACTAAACCAACCAGGGCTTAACCCAAATTTTAATAGGGGTTTGAATCTCATCATCCCTGATAGGTTGTGTATACGTAGAACATATCTCAAAGCTATTTTGAGAATGAAATGAATTAATACTGATAAAAATAATTAGTATCTAACACAGAGTAAGCCTTCAATAAATGCGCTGTACCTGTCATTATGTTCATTTTCGTGGTCTGATAGTAGCAGTAACAACAAGTCATGGTCCTTCTGAGGATTTTCCAAAAATTGTTTAAATCAGGGAATATAGGCCTCTGAAGCCTAAAATATTTACTAACTGGTCCTTTAAGGAAATGTGTGCTTAACTGGCTTAGAGCCTCAGCTATTCTGTTAGCTGCCCTGCCTCCTCAGTCCTACTGGGGAGGGGGCACCATTTGCTTAACTGCTGCTCAATCCAGTCTTTAATTATTTTTCCAGTAAAAAATGTATTAAGTCTTATAAATTGCTAAAACTTGATTTTTTTGCTATTATAATGTATATATATTACATGTTATCATTGGTGTAGTCAGTAGTTACCAGAAATAATTATCAAAAAAGAGAATAGAAAACAATAAGAAAAGATAAGGTGTTCTTTGCTATTGTTTAATTTAGAAGTAGATATGTAATATCCATGATTAGTAGCTGATAAATGTTAGGAATAGAAATGATGGGCTAAAAAAGAGAGATATGACTAATTTTGGTGTGGGAGATATTAGTATAAATTCATGTTTATTTTATTGTCTGTCTATATATACACATGTGGAGAACTAATTCTAGATATGTGTGTGTATGTGGGATAGTACACACACATTGTATTGCCTGGCTCTGTCCACTGAGGGCCTGAGGACAGTGATACTTCAGTGTAGCAAGCACACCCAGCACCCAGGTTTTGGTTTCTAAATACCATACTCCACTAAAAGGAACCGGAGCTGCCTCTGAATAAATGGCAGGTTGTAGGACTGGGGCTGCGGGGGCAGATGAGCCTGGAGCATCTTGTAGAGCTAGAAAGTAAGGAAGTGCTGGGAGGAGGGCACAGGAACTGGATGAGGCCATGTCTAAAGGACTCGGGAACCAACCTGAAAAAGCTCCCAGTGGTCAAAGCTGGAAGAATTTGAACATCAAAATAAATATTGACAGTATTGGATTATAATCCAAAGAATAAAATAAATATCCAGGAGTCTATATTGATAAAAATGGCTGATTGAGCCCTGCTGGTTTGGCTCAGCGGTAGAGCGCCAGCCTGCGGTCCAGGGCGGCCTGGGTTTGGTTCCCGCTAAGGGCACGTACCTCAGTTGCAGTTTTTCCCCGGCCCTGGTTGGGTCGTGCAGGTGGCAACCACTCGATGTGTCCCTTTCACGTCGATGTTTCTCTCTCTCTCTCCCTCCCCACTCTATCTGAACAAAAAATGGAAAAGTGCCCTCGGGTGAGGATAAAAATAAAGTGGCTGACTGAGTAAACAAATGGGGCCCTGGCCGGTTTGGTTCAATGGTTGGAGCATTGGCCCGCAGACCAATGAGTCACGGGTTTGATTTTGGTCAAGGGCACGTATCTCGGTTGCGGTTCATCCTCGGCCCTGGTCAGGTTATGTGGGAGGCAACCAGTCTATGTGGCTCTATCACATCGATGTTTCTCTCTGTCTCTCTCCCACCCCCACCCCACTCTATCTGATAATAAGTAGAAAAATATCCTCTGGTGAGGAATTTAAAAAAATACAAATGGGGAGAAGGGATAATCTTCCGTATAGAAAAATTCCAAATCATGTATAATAGATGCTCCCCCTTCAGGAGGTGGAGCTTTATCTCCCTCCCCTTGAACGTGGGCCAGACTTACTGACTAGCTCCCCAAACTAGACCATGGAAAGAGGAAAACAAGTTTACCGAGAGAAGACTGGCAGGCACCACCGGAACCAGAGGTTTTCTTCCCTTAAATCTAGTCTAATCATGAGAAAACATCAGATAAACCCAAATTGAGGGATATTCTACAAAATACCTGATCAGTACCCTTCAAAGTTTCAAGGTTGTGAAAAACAAGGAAAGACTGAGGATCTCTTACAGACCAGGGGAGAAGAGACACATGCAATGTGGGGTCCTGGGCTGGGTCCTGGGACAGAAAGGAAACACTGGAGGAAAAACTGGTGAAATCCAAATCAAGTCTGGAGTTTAGTAGTAATGTACCATGTGATTAGTTTTAACAGATGCACCTCGGGTAATTTCTTTAACCAACCTGAATTATCACCTGAAGATATTTTTCCATTGATTTTTGGGGAAAGTGGGAGGGAAAGATGATGAGGAGAGGGAGGGGAGGAGAGAGAGAAACATGGATGTGAGAGAGAGACCTGGATTGGTTGTCTCCGGCACATGCCCCAACCAGGGGCCTGGGGTTGAACCTGCAGTCCAGGTGCATGCCCTTGCCCGGGAATCGAACCCACAACGCTTTGATCCAAGCACTGGTGCTCTAACCGCTGAGCCATACTGGCCAGGGCACACCACAAATATTTTAACATTAAAGGAAGCTGGGTGAAAAGTAAGAAATTGTACTATCTCAGCAACTTCTGTGTAAACTTGAAATTACTGCATAATAAAGTTGTTTTTTTTAAATCCCCACTCGAGGACATTTTTGCATTTATCTTCAGATAGAGCAAGAGGGGAAAGAGGGGGGAAGAGAGAGAGAGAAACATCAACTGGTTGCCACCCACACGACCCCAACCGGGTCGAGGACAGACTACAACCAAGGTACGTGATGTGCCCTTAGCAGGAACTGAACCTGGGACTCTCTGATCCGTGGGCCGACGCTCTAACGGCTGAGCCAAACCGGCCAGGGCAAGATTTTATTTTTTAAAAGGAGGAAAAATAAGGAATTTGAGCATTGAAATAGAGTCTTAAGATTAGACATGTTTAAATGTTATCCTTTCCACAAATCCAGGTACTAAGAAGATGACTATTTAAATTATTAGGTTTTTACTCTGATTTGTTTTTTTGTGACTTTTCTTGCTCTGCCTGCTAATGACTTTTCTCACCTAGCTTCAGGTGAGTGGCACAGGATGGACCTCAGCACACCCAGAGCCATCTTCTTTAACACCAAGGAGTGTGGAAACCACCCCAGCAAATAATGAAGGTAGTCTTTTTTTTCATTGATTTTGACAGAGAGAGGGGAACATCAGTTTGTTGTTCCACTTACTTCTGCATTCATTTGTTGATTCTTGTATGTGCCCTGACTGAGGATCAAACCCACAACCCTAGTGTATGGGAATGAACTCTAACCAACTGAGCTACCCGGCCAGGGCTGAAGGTAGTCTTTAGAACCGTCACAGACTATTGTCCTGTGGTCCAATGGCATGCTATGACACTAGCAGAAAATAAGACCAGATTAGAAGGTGGACAGAACAGGCTACTGAACACGGAATATGATCTCATTTTTGTAAAAAATACACACAAAGCATTCTGGAAGATACACACCAAATTGTTAACTGGAGAATGAAATTACTGAGGATTTTTAATTTTAACTTGATACAGTTTAGAAGTGACTGAACTTTTGTAATTAGTATGTATTTTATAACCAGAAAATAAGATTTTGATGTAAAATAACTATGAATAGTTGACACCTAATGATTTACATTTGATGACTTAATTATAGGATTACATATATTGTAAATATACTTATATCAATGGCTTACATTTTAAAACTCACTTATGTGGCCCTGGCCAGTTTGGCTGAGCGGTTAGAGCGTTGGCCCGCAGACCAGGGAGACCAGGTTTGGTTCCCGCTAAGGGCACATACCTTGGTTGCAGTTTGTCCCCAGGCTTGGTTGGGGTTGTGTGAGTGGCAGCCAGTTGATGTGTCTCTCTTGCATCGATGTTTCTGTCTCTCTTTCTTCCTCCCTCTCTCCTTCCTGCTCTATCTGAAGATAAATGCAGAAATGACCTTGGATGAGGATAAAAAAATAAAAAATAAATAAAAATAAAAATCACTAATGTGATACGAATAACATGGATCAAGACATCAACTTTTTCTGACTAAAATTGAGTGTATTTTGTTAGCTAGAATGTTAGTATAAATTAAAAACAAAAAAGGTAACATTGACATCTGAGCAGTAAGCTCCTGGAACGTGGTACCCAAAGAAGTTGCTGGCTTATACAAGTTGGGCCTGGAACTACGTTAAGGGACTTAGTGTAATAAGAAGGACTAAGCAGTCACCACCTGTAGATTGGGTGATAGTACTGAGAACGTTTCTGGCAAGGACTTGGGGGGGTGGAGATGGTCACTCAGCTGCCTGCGGTGAAGAAAGGAGATCCCTTCACTTGTGTTGAACTCCAGGTGCCGGGGGGCGTGTCCGAGATTCCAGGGTGCCTGGGTTTCATTGTACTGGTCAGGGGGGGACCTACCCGTGAGTCAGGAGAGGAACGCCGGGATCCTGGAGAACAATGAACAAACGTCTAGCATTTTGGAAGAATAATGAAACTAAGCAGAATTCCTTTCTTACTCTTTATAACTAAATTTAGACGGATCAAAGATTTCAATATAAAACCTGAAAATATGAGGGTACTATGAGAAACATGGGTGGCTTTTTCTGCCATCCTGGAGTGGGATCCCTTCTCTGCATATTCACGCCTCCCTTCTCTGCATATTCACGCCTCGTGAAGGGAAGAGGGTAGTAAGTCTAACTTCTGGAAATGTAACATTGTGGTCAAGACAAAAGATATAAATTTGCAATTCATATGTAGACAAAAAGCTTGGTTCCTTAATATGCAAAGAACTCTCACATGGCTGGTTTTGTGTGATTTGCAACTTGTGATTTTTCACATTTTATTTATTTATTTTTTTGGTACGTGCCCCTAGCAGGAACCGAACCTGGGATTCTCTGGTCCGTAGGCCGACGCTCCAACCGCTGAGCCAAACTGGCCAGGGCCACATTTCTTTCTTTTTTTTTTTTTTTTAATCCTCACCCGAGGACATTCTTCCATTTTTTGTTCAGATAGCATGGGAGGGAGGGAGATGGAAACAGAGAGAGAAACATCGACCTGAAAGGGACATATCGAGTAGCTGCCACCCGCACGACCCAACCAGGGCGAGGGACAAACTGAGGTACGTGCCCTTAGCGGGAACCAAACCTGGGTCTCTCCGGACCGCAGGCCGACACTCTAACCGCTGAGCCAAACTGGCCAGGGCTCACATTTCATTTTTTACGCACATGACCCTAAATGCCTGCAAAGTAGACATTGGCACATCCCCAAGTGACATTTAGCTTTTTGGTGTCTGACTTCCACGGCACTGCAGCCGCACTGGCCTGCCCTCCGTTTCGGTGTTTTCATTCTGTTAGGCTTGGAGTGGGACTCGCCCTCGTCGTCATGTGGCCGCCTCCACATTGGAGTCTCAGCTCCAGGTCCTCAGAGAGGGCCCCTACGCACCCTAGCCACAAACACAGTTCCGTATGTTGTGTCCCTCATGGCACAGCACACTTCAGCCCTGGAAAAGAACGTGTTCCTTAGCTCCTATGCCCACTGTGTGTCCCTTCCACTGGGCTGTGAGCTCCTCCAGGGAGAAATCCTTTTTTTTTGCATTTATCTTCAGATAGAGCAGGAGGGAGAGAGGGAGGAAGAGAGAGAGAGAAACATTGATGTGAGAGAGACACATCGAGTGGTTGCCACCCACAGGACCCCAAACGGGACCGGGGACAAACTGCAACCGAGGTACGTGCCCTTAGCGGGAACCGTACCCCGGCCTCTCTGGTCCACGGGCTGACGCTCTAACCACTGAGCCAAACCAGGACCAAGAAATTCTTTTTAAGATAAGGAACCTAGTCCTTGCTGGTTTGGCATAGCAGTTAGAGCGTCGGCCCTCAGACTGGAGAGACCCGGGTTCAGTTCCCGCTAAGGGCCTGTACCTCGGTTGCAGTTTGTCCCTGACCCCGGTTGCGGTCATGTGGGTGGCAGCCAGTTGATGTGTCTCTCACATCGATGTTTCTCTCTCTCTTCCTCCCTCTCTATCTGAAGATAAATGCAAAAATGTCCTAAGGTGAGGATTAAAAAAAATAATAAGATAAGGAACCTAGCTGGGCTGGTGATCCGTTTGTCATTGTCAATAAGAGAGAAAGAAAAGCTAGGTTTGTTATTATCCATAAGAGAGAAAAGAAAAACTAAGTCCGACACTCTCCTGACTAACATGGAGGAAGGGTGAGATTTGTACCTTCTGATATCCATTTAAACATTGTTACTGTTACAACCTATAAGCATAAAAGGCCTTTTGAGATGGAGGCTACCTGCTGTTAGTTAGGGAGACACTGTCTCAAGGCCTAACCCATTCTGTCAGCACTGGCTGACAAGGTGCAGTCTTGAGTAAATTTAAGGATTGCACAATGAAAAGGAGAGAACAAAAGAATTTTAACAAATAGAACAGGAGGCCCGACATACTGCTGCTGTGTTCTCATTCACTGCTGTTTTCCGTTGCCCAGAGCAGTTCCCAGCCCTTAGTGGGTGATCCGTAAATGCCAGGCCAGCGTTCTTCCTACAAAATGGCATTGTTCTTACTCATCCTGCTCTGTCTGTTTAAAAGCCTTAACTAGAGTTTACCATTTAAATGTTTACAAAAGTAGAACACTGTGTTTCCTGCCACTTTTTAAATAACAGCTTTATTGACATATAATTCACATATCATAAAATTCACCCTTTGAAGTATACAGTTCAGTGGTGTTTGGTATATTCACAAGGTTGTGCCCCCTTCACCACTAATTCCAGAACATTTCATCACCTCCAGAAGAAACCCCTACCCACTCACAGTCACTCCCCATTCTCTCCTGCCCCTGCTCCAGCCCCTGGCAACCACTGGTCTGCTTTCTGTCTAAGGATTTGTGTATGCTAGACATTTTGTTGTTGTTGTTAATCCTCACCCAAGGATATTTTACCATTGATTTTTTACATAGAATGGAAGGAAGGGAGGGAAGGAGAGAGAGAGACAGAGAGAAACATCGATTGGTTGCCTCCCGAATGACCCCTGACTGGGGCTGGGGATTGAAGCTGTAACCTAGGCACGTGCCCTTGACCAGGAATCGAACCCAAAACCTTTTGATCCACGGGCCAATGCTCTAACTGCTGAGCCAAACAGGTCAGGGCTATTCTGGACATTTTACATAAGGGGACTCAGACAGTATGTGGTCTTTTGTGACTGGATTCTTGTGCTTTGCATAATTTTTTAAAGGATTATCTACATTGTAGCATTTCAGTATTTATTCTTTATAGCCTAATAACGTTCCATTGCATGAATGTACTACATTTTGTCTACCCATTTTTTAATAAAGTTAAAATAACAAAATTTTTTTAAGTAAAGACTTAGTAGAGTTCCTATCCAGGATTGTTTTTAGGTCAGTGAGAAAACAGGGCCCTGGGCGGTTTGGCTCAGCAGTCAGAGCTTTGGCCCGAGGACCGAAGGGTCTTCGGTTCAATTCTCTGTCAAGGGCACATACTTGGGTTGCAGGTTAGATCCCCTCCCCAGGTTGGGGTCATGCGGGAAGCAACCAATCAGTGTGTCTCTCTCACATCCATGTTTCTCTCTCTCTCTCCCCTCCCTTCCACTCTATCTAAAAATCAATAAAAAAATATCCTTGGGTGAGAGTTAACAAAACAAAAAAATGGGCCCGGCCAGTGTGGCTCAGTGGATTGAGCATCGTCCCATGGACTGAGAGGTCCTGGTTCAATTCCCAGTCAGGGCACATGCCTGGGTTTCAGATTCATTCCCCAGTATGGGACGTACAAGAGGCAGCCAATTGATATTTCTCTCTCACATCAATGTTTCTATCTCTCTCTAAAAAATCAATAAAAACATATTTTAAAAAAACAGGCAGATTTCTTGACAACTGAAAATTTAGGTTTCTATTATTGATATAAATCGGTGTTAGAATTTCCAAATGTTAACATATGTTAGGTGTATAGTCCACATGTGTACTAGGTATCTCAGAATAGTTTACTTTAAAATACCAGATCATAAGGTAGAATTTCGAATGACATTAATTAGGAAGACCAACATTTTTTTTCTATAAAGCAACTGAATAAAAAATACACTTCTATTTTTTTTTCCTTTATTGATTTTAGAGAGAGAGGAAGGGTGAGGGAGAGAGAGATAGAAACATCAATGAGAGAGAACATTGATTGGCTGCTTCCTGCATGCCCCCCACTGGGGATCGGGCCCACAACCTGGGCATGTTCCCTGACCAGGAGTTGAACTGGTGACCTCTTGGTGCATGGGTTGATGCTCAACCATTGAGCCGCACTGACCAGACTACACTTCTATTTTAATGTACCTTTATTTTATTTAAAAATTTTTTTTCTCTATATTGATTTTAGAAAGAGCGGAAGGGAGAGGGAAAGAGAGGGATAGAAACATCGATGAGAGAGAACATTGATTGGCCGCCTCCTGCATGCCCCCCACTGGGGATCGGGCCCACAACCTGGGCATGTGCCCTGACCAGGAGTCAAACTGGTGACCTCTTGGTGCATGGGTTGATGCTCAACCACTGAGCCACACTGGCCGGGCTGTTTTAATGTACAGTGATACCTCGGTTCTCGAACGCCTTGACTTTCGACCAAATCGGTATTCGACCAGGAGATTCGAGAAACTTTTGTCTTGGAATCCGAACAAATATTTGGAACTCGAACTTCCGAGATGAGCCGAGTTGAGCCGAATGGCGTTCATTCGGCCCAGCGCGCCTTGCTCGCATCATCAGTGTGAGTGCAGAGAGAGAGTCACGCTTTGTGGAGAGAGTCACGCTTTACACTGAATTTAACCCTTAGACATACTGTACACTTTTATTTCTTGTTGAGACTTATGTTTTTCTACATATTATATACAAATTAGGCCAGTAAATAGGCATTTTCTGGGGCTTGGAACGAATTAATCCAGTTTCCATTATTTCCTATTGGGTTTCATTGCTTCAGTTCTCGAACAATTTGGTTCTCGACCGTCCTCCTGGAATGAATTATGTTCGAGAACCGAGGTATCACTGTTACTTTTAAATCGAAATTCTTATACTGATAAAATAGAATGTGGAGCTAAAAAGAAAGAGGAGCATTGACAAAATTAGAGAAGACATGTAGTACTCAGCAAGTTGAATATATTACATATTCAAAAACGAGTTTGATGAGTTTATTTTCTGCATTAATATCAATATTTTTAACTTGCAGGTGGACCAGAGCAAGGACCAAGTGTGGAAGGTCTTAACATACCAACCAAAGCTGCTTTAGGTAATGTGCATAAGAATATTCTGATTTAGAGAGTAAGATTTATTAACAAAAGAAATTAATCCTATCCTTGCATTCTGCTTAGAATTTATAGAGTATTTGACACCATAACTGTAGTCTTTTTTTTTTCATGACTGTAGTCTCTTTTTTATTTTTTTTTTTTTATTTTATTTTATTTTTTTTTTTATCCTCACCCGAGGACATTTTTCCATTTTTTGCACAGATAGAGTGGGAGGGAGAGAGAGGAAGAGAGAGAGAGAGAGGGAAACATCGATGTGAAAGGGACACATCGAGTGGCTGCCACCCGCACGACCAACCAGGGCCAGGGACAAACTGCAACCGAGGTACATGCCCTTAGCGGGAACCGAACCCGGGTCTCTCCGGACCGCAGGCGGATGCTCTAACCGCTGAGCCAAACCGGCCAGGGCTATTATTTTTTTTTTTATTGTCCTCACCCGAGGACATTTTTCCATTTTTTGTTCAGGTAGAGTAGGAGGGGGAGAGAGGAACAGAAGGAGAGAGAAACATCGACGTGAAGGGACACATCGAGTGGCTGCCACCCGCACGACTGACCAGAGCCGGGGACAAACTGCAACCGAGGTACATGCCCTTAGCGGGAACCGAACCCGGGTCTCTCAGGACCGCAGGCCAATGCTCTAACCGCTGAGCCAAACCAGCCAGGGCTGTAGTCTCTTAATGGGATTTTATTAAGCCCACATGTGGTTCTGTGTTAGCGGCTCCATGGCTGCAGCAGCGGCTGTGGACCTGGCCAAGGTGGCTGTTGGTGTTCTTGATTGGCAAGTTCACGTTGGCCTGGTTGATGTTCCAGCGTCAGCAAAGGTCAGAGCAGCCACAACATTCCTGTTTACTCGGAGTCTCTTAGTATCTTCTCCTCTTTCTGATTTTATAATAGGTGAACTTAACGTTTAACTTTTCATCATCAGAATTATCTGAAATTGCTGCGTATTACACCTCATTAATTGGAAAGCAACTGCTTTAGTGAAAAATAAACTGTTAGAAATGTTCCAGATCTTTTCATCGTGTAATTTTTTTATCCTTACCTGAGGACATTTTTGCATTTATCTTCAGATAGAGAGGGAGGGAGAGAAGGAGGAAGAGAGAGAGAGAAATATCTAAGTGAGAGATACGAGTGGTTGCCACCCACATGACCCCAACCGGGGCCAGGGACAAACTGCAACCAAGGTACGTGCCCTTAGCGGGAACCAAACCCAGGACTCTCTGGTCCGCGGGCTGACGCTCTAAACACTGAGCCAAACTGGCCAAGGCACATCATGTATTTTTTTAAATATGTTTTTGTTGGTTTTTTTTTTAGAGAGAGAGATAGAAACATCGATGTGTGAGAGAAACATCGATCGGCCGCCTCCTGCACACCTCCTACTGATGATCGAGCTCGTAACCCGGGCATGTGCCCTGACCGGGAATCAAACCAGAACCTCTCAGTCCATGGGACGAAGCTCAGTCCCCTGAGCCACCCCGGCTGGGCTCATAGAGTATTAATAGATTTGTAGGAGATTGAGAGTAGGTTATATGATGACTACAACACAACCCTAAAAGAAGTGGTGGGAAGAAAAATGTTCGTAGATCTCATTTTCTACTTGAAATGGAATGATGTTATTCTCTCATGAGGGCTAAAATTTTTTTTTAATCCTCATCCAAGGACATTTTTTCCCCATTTTTGTTCAGATAGAGTAGGAGGGAGAGAGAGAAAGAGAAAGAGAAACATTGATGTGAAAGGGACACATCAAGTGGCTGTCTCCCGCATGACCCCAACCAGGGCCAGGGACAAACCACAACCCAGGTACATGCCCCTAACCAGAATCGAACCCGCAACTCATCGGTCCACAGGCCGACACTCCAACTGCTGAGCCAAACTGGCCAGGGGTTAGGGCTAAACATTTTAATCATCTGTTATTTATAGTTTTATGCTCTTTTCATTCTCCGCTTTGTAAGAAAAAATAAAAATTTTATTCTTACTGGGTCTCTTACACATGATCCTAAAAACAGAATATATAATCTATGATTAAACTTTATCCAGAAAATAATTTTTTAGACACTTTCTTTAAAAGCGTTATATATTTTTGTACAATTTAGAAAGTACTGCTATTAAAATAATAGAATGATGTCCAGCCGGTGTGGCTCAGTGGTCAAGTGTCGACCCATGCACCAAGAGGGCCAAATCCCCAGTGGGGTCATGCAGGAGGCGGTCAGCCGATGTTCTCTGTCATCGATGTTTCTCTCTCTCTCTCCCTCTCTCTCTCTCTAAAATCAATAAAGAAAAAAATTTTTTTTAATACTAGCGTGCTTTATATTTCTTATTGATTCATATGATAAAATCCGTGTGTAAGTGAAGGTGGAAAAACATATCATTGACTGCTTTAGTTGTATACATAATGCCTGGCTAACGTAGTATTTTAAAAGAATTTGAACGTTTTTGAAGCGCAGAGGTTAACGGGAGAGTGCTCTAGTACACGGGGGACGTGCTCTAGTACACGTGGACGTGCTCTAGTACACGGGGGACGTGTCCCTGAAGAAAGCGGCAGACGGGCCCGCTCAGGCTCTTCGCTGCTCTTCAGTGTGGGGCCCGGAAAGTCGGTTTTCCGAGTGTGGGTGCCACGTGGAAATACTGAGGGCTCCCTTTGGTGAAGCTGTGTTCTAGATGCCCTCATAACAGTGTGGGGCAGAAATAGGCTCACAGTTGTGAGTACGCGGAACTGAGTTTATTAGTGTATATTTATGAATTACTGTATTTTCCATACGAACAACTGTAACCCTATTTTGCCCCACCCTGTCCTCGTCTTCTGGATGACAGCTAATGTGGGAAATGTTGTAGTCTCTTAAACAGTAATTTACAATACCTTAGAACTTTTTTAAAAGAACTCACTAAAAATAAAAAAGTATGTATTTCTATTGGTCTCACTTTCTGCTTTTTATTTTTTGACAGAGGTTTCCTCTATCATAAAAAAGAAACCAAATCAAGCTAAAAGAGGAGTGAGTATGATGTATAAAATATTTGGTAGTTCTGTTCTAAAATGGCTGATGCACTCAAAGCCACCCTGTCATTTTACTTTTATTTATTTTGAGCCATGTTATGTAGAATAAATGTGGCCTGGATAAAGACTCTACGAGGTGAACATTTACCAAGTGAAGATTTTCTTTAATGGGTGTTTAACATTTCTTCTGTCAATGATGAAATTCTAAAAGCAGCCTAGCGGAGGCCCCCTGAGAGTTTCCGTCATGGCTGCATTTTTATAGCAACACCGGCTCTGGAGACCTGGAGGGCTGTCTGTCGAGCTTTCAGAGCCGTGACTCCTGTGCGAGCCCCTGCAGGCGGCAGGTGGAACCCACTCTCCCTGGCTGGCTGTGTGGTCCTGCCCAGGTCGCCTAGCGTGCCTGAGCTGCAGCTCCTCCGTGAGCGGGAGAACAGTGAAGCCCACCTCGAGCCATGGGGCCCAGGAGAGCAGGTGTCACCTGCTTGTCACAGTGCCTGCCACAAATGTTAGCTATTGTCACAAAAGTTGTCAACATTTTGGGAGAATATAATCTTATATATCTTCTAGCTTGGGGCCAAAAAAGGAAGTTTGGGAGCCCAGAAACTGACAAATACGTGCTTTAATGAAATTGAAAAACAAGCCCAAGCTGTAGATAAGATGAAGGAACAGGAAGACCTCACCAGGACGGCGCCTAAGGAAGAGTCGATGTAAGTTTAAGTCGGTTATAGTGACATCATTTTAGTGAATGAAACTGTTAACTTCCAGGTTTACTTTGCTAATGCCATTTATTTCTATGTGTATGTGAGGAGGGTAAGGCAAGTTTAGTTTTATGAAAACGCATGTCACAGTGATGCGTAGGCTGGAAGGGAGGGAGGCCATGGCGAGGGAGAGCAGTGGCGATTCCCAGTTGAAGTGAGGGCAGGACAGGGTGGTGTCAAGGGAAAGGGGAAGACAGGTGTGTCAGGTGGCATTTACCCATGGATGATGCTCAACACCGTTACTCACTAGGGAAATGCACAGTGAGACACCACTCCACTCACTAGGATGACTACAGTCGAGAAGACAGACAATAACAAGTGTTAGCGAGAATGAAGAGAAATTGGCACCCTTATGCATTGCTGGTGGCAATGCAGAAAGTTAAACATAAAAGTACTGTATGACCCAGCAGTTTTACTCCGAAGAGTAAAACTTCCACACAAACGTGTACATGAGTGTTCATAGCAACATTAACCCCACAGCCAAAAAGTAGAAGCAACCCAGATGCCCACCAGCTGATGAGTCGGTCAAGAAAATGGTGTATCCATACAGTGGGATATCTTTCAGCCTTAAAAAAGAACAGAGCACTGACACAAGCTACCACATGGATAAGCCTCGAGAAGTCTGCACTAAGCAGCCAGGCACAAAGAAGCATGCCGTGCGATTCCACATGTAAGAAATGTCCAGACAGGCAAATCCACAGAGACGGGAGGCAGGCTAGTGCTGCCCAAGGCCAGGGCGGGGGTAAGGGAGAAGGGACTTATTGCTCATGGGCACGGGGTTTGTTTTGGAGGTGATGAAAATGTTCTGGAACAATGGGGGTGGGTGGCACAACTTTGTGAATATACTAAACACCACACCACCGAATTACACACTTTAAAGGAATGAATTTTATGGTATGTGAATTATATCTCATTAATGAGAAAACTGTTTATAATGTGAAGCCCCACGGAACCTGGTGGCTGAATTTTGAATGTATGATGGAAGGCTGTGGGTATGTGGTCTCCGGAGGTTTGAACCTGGACCAAGGAGGTCTGAGTCCCACTCCGCCCAGAGGAGAGGGAGAAGGAAAGGTCAAGAGAAGGAAGAGGAGAGGGTAGGCCACAGGGGGGCGGCCTGCGCTGGAGGATGCGGACTGACAAGTGGGGCACAGTGAAGTCCGCGGGTGGTTTGCGTGCGCCCAGAGGAGCGCGTGCTGCCGCAGCCTGTCTGCGCGCCTGAGTTGGGCAGTGCTGTCCAGCCTGGACACAGTCGGGAAGAGACCGGAAACCAGGATGCTAGTCAGGACCAGTGTCACGTAAACATTTAAGACCCTTGAGAGCTTTTCCTTTGTGTTGAAAGCAGCAGAGAAACATGGGCATCTGGGCCGTGTGCGTGAGTGACTGCGAGGTCATGAGAACCGTGAGCACAGCACGGAGGAAGGCAGCTCGAAGCCCTGTTCCTGTGTGTGTGTTTTAGTTACATGGCATCTCTCATTTCCACGTGTAGTTCTGTTTCAGCTGGAGTGATGGCAGACTGCATGATGAAGACAATAATGATATTTATTTTCTGAGGTTGTTTTGAGGATTAACTTAATTTCTGCCCATTAAAGTATATTAAACAGTGCCTGGCACACAGTAAGGCTCAGTCATTCTGATTTCTTACTCTTCATGTTAACAGTGTGCTAATTGGAACTTATACCCAGATAACTTGAAATTGAGTTATTTCTCCCTGTCATTTAACTCATAGAACATAGGGGGCAGTAGTAAACTGCATTTAGGTTAAATGTGGTTTGAAAAGATTTATGTAAAATTTTAGTTGTCTCAACTTCACTTTAATTTCTCTGACTGAGCTAGGTTTCTGACCCTGGGAAAAGGGGAGGGTAAATCTGAGTGTTTAGATGGCATCTCGTGGCGTTTGGGAGGGGGCTCTGTCCGGGTGGCTCGCACATGGTTCTCCCAGAGACCGTGTGCAGTCCTATGCCTGATGAGAGCAGAAGGCCACTGCTCCCTCCTGAAGCTAAGGAGGGTGGAGACTGTGATGAATATTGGGAGCAACACCAGCCTTGACCTGTAGCTTTCATTAGGACTGTTTAATATGCTATGAAAGCAAAGATGCAGGGCATGGCGTATTTGTGAATTTGATTTGGGAACCCAGGAGTTCTGACAGCTTCCTTGGCCCCGTTCAGAACAGCCGCACCGCCCTGCTTGAGGCACCGTCCTGCCTCAGACCCATCGCTGCTCCGTCTCACCTGCCCGGTCTCACCTGCCCGGAGCTTGCCAGCGATGAGCCGTGCGTGTGTTGTCCTTAACACGTGGCAGTTATTCTTCTGCAGTTAATGGAGTGATTAACGTTATTAAAGTAAATAAAGTTATTTCAGTTCCATTCCCATCCACTCATCCTCTGTGGAAGAATCTGTTACCACAGCTATATCTATTCATGATTTTAAACAGATCTATTGTTTCCTCCCAAAAATTATACTTGAAAGAGTATTTTTTTCTGAGTAATAAAATGGGTATATTGTCACAGCCTGTTCTGTAGGACTAATAAATAGTAAAGAAGGCAAACTGCTGGGTTAAAACAAAACAAAGAGCCCTGGCCAGTTTGGCTCAGCGGTTAGAGCGTCGGCCTGCGGTCCGGAGAGACCCGGGTTCGGTTCCCGCTAAGGGCACGTACCTCGGTTGCAGTTTGTCCCCGGCCCTGGTTGGTCGTGCGGGTGGCAGCCACTCGATGTGTCCCTTCACGTCGATGTTTCTCTCTCTCTCTCCCTTCCTCTCTCTCCCTCCCACTCTATCTGTACAAAAAATGGAAAAATATCTTTGGGTGAGGATAAAAAAAAACAAAAACAAAACAAAACAAAGAAACCCTGCTTGACTCGTTAGGGAAGGAGACAGTAAAAGCAAGATTACTTTTTCTTAGTGAGAAACTGTTCCGTCCCTGTCACTGCGCAGAAGGGCATGTGTATCCGGAGGGACTTTGTGCAGCACCTTGCTGTGAGGAGTGCATGACATTTGACCCAATTTTATGAAATGGGTGGTAGCTGGGAGATCCCCCTATGGTAGACACATCACCTTTCAGGGCCCTGAAGTTGTGTCGCTCTCTTACTGATATGATAAAATACCCTTGTTATTGCTAATATGGGCATAATTTTCTTTATGAAAAATTAAGTATTTCTAGCATTTTTAGAAATGTGAGAGTAAGGGCCAGTCTATATACATCTTTTTGCCCCATTTGGTGCATTATTTGTAACAGATAATTGATTGATAGATGCTCAGTTTCTGACTGACAGGTGGCGCAGAAAAGGCTATTGGCAGAGGGGTGATTATTCCGTTTTAAACGGTTTCCGAAGCCTGATTACACAACAAGAACTTATGGGAGCCGTTCTTGTAAATGAAGCATATTTTGCGATTAGTAACCCTTCTTAATTTATCAATTTGTAAAGTCAAGTTATATATATATTTTTATTTTAAACCAAAGGAAACCAGTGAGACTAATCTCGTGCTTCTGACATATCGTGCAGAAGTGTAATAAAATATCAGTCCAAGTAAGAAATTCTGCTTTTTACCATCCTATGTAGAAGTAATCTTGGTATACATTGTTATGTATAGTAGGTAGTATAAATTATTATTCTATGATAATAGGTAGTATAAACTAGGACAGTGATATAGGTTCAGCAGCAACCAAAAATGGTTATAAATTTATTTAAATTGTCTTGAACATGTACTCAAAAAAGACTTTTTAAAAATGCCAGCTTGCCTTCATAATTGTTAATCATGGAGCAAAGCACAAAACTAAATGTATACGTGATGTTTAAATGTGCTCAGTATTTTAATATGACACAGGATTGAAGCTGAATTAAGGAGTATTGGTTTTCTGGCAGTGTATCATCCTTGCGATTAGCCTATAAGGATCTGGAAATTCAAATGAAGAAAGATGAAAAGATGAACTTGAGTGGGAAAAAGAAGGTGGAGTCCGAGAGACTTGGCATGGGATTTGGAAACTGCAGAAGGTACGTGAGACTCTGCTTTCTCGCTTTCAGAATTTAAACCAGTTTGCTAATCCTGAATGGATTTTCCTGTTATTTTCAACATTAGCAGTATTTTCTCATTGTTCCTTTCTTTCTTCGATTGTTTTGCTTTGCACTAGTTTTGAACACAGCATGAGAACTTCCAGGTTTGATTCTTAAAAAATAGGAAATAGGTCTCGCTTGTCATTCAGTGGATACACAAGCAGACCTGATGTCTGTGACTGTATTTGGTGTAATTGGTTACAGTCCTCACTGAGGTCCAGTATTTTTCTTTTTTTTTTGGTACGTGCCCCTAGTGGGAACCGAACCTGGGAGTCTCTCGTCCGCGCTGCTAAGCCAAACTGGCCAGGGCCAGTATTTTTCATTTTGTTAATCCTCACCTGACGATATTTTTTCCATTGATTTTTAGAGAGAGTGGAAGAGAGAGGGTGGGGGGATGGAGAGAAACATTAATGTGAGAGAGACACATCAGTTAGTGCCTCCTGGGCGAGCCCCAACTGGGGCCAGGGAATTGAACCTGCAACCAGGTGCGTGCCCTTGACAGGGAATTGAAGGTGTGACCCTTCAGTGTGAGGGCCAGCGCTCTAACCACTGAACCACAGTGTTTTTCAATGCTTATAACAAAACAAAAATTTTATTGTTCATTTTTTTAACCTCACCAATTTAATTTTTGTTGAGAGTATAGATAAAAACATTCATTGGTGAACTCGTGTCTTTATAAACTAGTGTAATTTTTTTCCATTTAATTTTGTTTCTCAAGTGGTATTTCACATTCAGCAACTTCAGATATGCAGACTATTGAACAGGAAACACCAATCACAGCGAAACCAAGAAAAAAGTGCAGCGAGGACAGTGGTGACTCGTACTTTACTTCCAGCTCAAGGTAATGTGTTCAAAATCCTCCTTGAAGTGTTGTTTTGAAAACCACTGGTTAGTATGAACTTACTAGTTTATTTATATTAGAAGCAAATACTAATCAGTGTACTTACCTGTTTTTAAAAGCTTTGGCTGAGTCAAGGGTGTCCTTTGAAAACAGTTGGGGAAAATTTGTAAGTAGGCAACATTTATTAGTATTAAAATGTTTGATAATAAGGTAGGAAAGTTGTGTTCATCTATAATGGGGAATTGGAGAAATGTGTAAACTCCCAAAGGTACATATTAAGTTGTAGTCTTATTCCCAGAGTTGGAACATTTCACAGCTGAGCCTTTAGCTGACCTTCTTGTTTCACACTGTCAGCTCAGGAGTGTCCAACCGGCAGGGCAGACAGAGTATTAAGTAAATTCTGTGTGTGTGTATTTATTAATAAAAAATGCTGTTGCATGTCTGGCCAGTGTGGCTCAGTAGTTGAGTGTTGACTCATGCACCAAGAGGTCGCTGGTTCAACTCCCAGCCAGGACACATGCCCAGTGGGCCCGATCCCCAGTGGGGGGCATGTAGGAGGCTGCCAATCGATATTCTCTCTCATCCATGTTTCTATCTCTCTCTCCCTTTCACTTCCTCTCTCTCAAATCAGTAAAGGGAAAAAAGAAAAAAAAAAATGCAGTTGCACTCTGTAAGGGCTTCCAGGATACAGCCTCTCCCTGTCCCTGAGCGCTCACCATCTGATCTGACAAGTTGCCTAACTCCGGTGTGAAGCTGACCGTGGAGAGTGCCCTGGGTCAGGTGCCAGCAGCCTGCAGGGACAGGGAGAACGGGTTTGAACGTGAATCATCTCACTTGTGAGGTTCCTCCAACAACCTGACCAGCACAGGGAGAGTCCTGCTAAAAAGGCACCGAGTATTCTTGGGGTGTAACTGGAGAAGGCACCAGCTGAGAAGCCAGGGGCTGAGAGTGTGGCCCAGGAACCAGGCAGCCTGGACCGAATCCTGACGCTGCCACTCAGTGCCCGTCTGACCTCGGCCGAGTTACTTAGCCTCTCTGTGCTGCACCTGGATCTGTCAGTCAGGGTCCCCGCAGCGCCCGCCCCACGGGGTAGCGTGAGGGTCACATGCGTTCATACAATAGAGCATTTGGAATGCAGCTTATCTCATAATGTTATTTTACTTGCTGTGATTCTATAGAAACTCAATTCAAGAGGTGTGTGACTCAGTCTCAGTGTTTCATTACTATTGTTAGACATTTAATAAACCACATTGACAGCCACCTTCCTGGTAGCAGTTTGGGGGAATCGAGTGTTTGCCCGTCGGTAGCGGGCGGTGCTGGCGAGGAGGTGCCCGTCATGCCATCTCAAAGGCAGTGGAGTTCTGTGGCGGTACCGGCCTGAGGCATTTTTGTATATGTAACACGTTGTATTTCATAATTCTCCTATCGAAGTTCCTGGAGAGTACTGTCCTTTAAAAATTCTCTTAGCACAGCTTCAAGTTATTTCAAGTCCAGATATTTTACAAAAAAAAAATGTTGCTAGTTCAGTGGTGTCCCCGATCAGTATTTCTTCTTTTTCGGTACGTGCTTCTAGTGCGAACCAAACCCGGGACTCTCTGGTCTGCAGGCCAACGCTCCAACCGCTGAGCCAAACTGGCCAGGGCCCCGATCACTATTTCAGAGACCTGGATGGTTCCATACTTGCCTGCTGTGAGTAACCTGTAAAACACACCAGGCTTCAGTTTACTTAGAGGTACCGCCCAAGCCATGCCCCCTAAAAGTACTTTAGTATGTTTCCTGCTGGGTACAGGGAAATGTGGCACTTGGCTTGGCAGCTGCCTGCAGGTCAGATGTGTCAGGTGCGCATGTGGTGAGGGAGGGAGTGGGGCGCAGAGGGCCCTGGGCATCAGGCTCTCCGGTCTTCTCTGGGCTTCTCCGCACCTCTGGGTCGGTTCCCGCACCTCTGGGTCGGTTCACTGCTCACTAGCAACTCCCACAGGTGAGAGTTCAGGGAAGTACAGAAAATCAGTTTCAAGTTAAATCAGTTCTACGGCCCTGAGAAACTTCTGGGAGCATCGCCTGCTCCAGGCCGCTGACAGGCTCCTGTGGGCTTCACCTGCCTTGTCGGGGGCATCGGGGGTCCTATGGGCTTCTCCAAAGCTAGGGCAGAAGCGTTAGTCCTAGAGGCCTTCGTTGCTATGAAACAATTATTTATGGTTTGAAACCTGGGAGCAGATGGTGTTTTTATACTGACCACACTTGCTGGATTCCTGCCAGACAGACCTTGGTGAGCTGTTTGTCGTGAGGGACATACCCCCCTTCTCTAGTCCTGGGTGGTGACCACTGCGAGGAGAGCAAGGGCACTAGCAGTCCTTGGCAAGGGAGGTCACGGCGCGTGGACTTTCAGAAAGCAAGCGTATTAGTTCCCTGAAGAGCTCTCGTTGCTTCCAAATTATTCATTAGCCCATTAGAACTTGAATATTATGAATTATGAAAGAGTGCTGTTTCTATTAAAAATAAGATCAACCATGTCTTTGTTTTTTGTTTTTTACCGAGTTCCATTATTTCCAGGACATAGACAATGTAATGATATATTGAGTACAAAAGGATGAAACTAGAACAGTTTGCTTAGCCTTATGAGGTCAGTGTGGCCTTCAGAGGGACGGACAGTGTCCATACTGTAACTCAGACATGATACCAGGGTGCTCTTACCGAGGGGCGTGCAGGACTGTGTTCAGGGTTGGAGACAGCGGGAGGGCAAAATCAGAGTAAAAAGCATTGAGAACTAGGATCTGGAAACCAAAACATGAGAAAGTCAATAATGATGTGAAGACGGGGTTTGGAGGCTGCCGTTTCTGAGGAAAGACAAGTGCGCCATGGCCATTAGTCAGGTCGCCTGTCCTCCCCAGGCACTGGAGGCCTGGCCAGGCACCGGCTGTCCCCCAGCGAGTTGCTGCGTGCCTCTTGCATCCTGTGAATGCACAGAGCCCCCCAAGACAGGAAGCCACCTCCCACCCCGCCCAGCCCCGCCAGCCCGCAGAAGACTACCTAATGGCTCTTCTGACTCAGGATCCCAGCAGAGTGGCTTTCTCCTGTTTTTGAGTAATTCAGTCATTTTCTTAAAATCTGATGCCCCTGTGTTCTAGCACTCTGGTTAATGTGAATGAATATTTCCTTACAGTGACATTAAATGTGCAAAACCCTAAGTACCAGCTCCTCAGAGTTGTGAAGGGCCTGGAAGTTCCAACCACACCCTACCCAGTGCCTCCCCCACCTTGCAGCACCCTGGGGGACTGTGCAGCACCCTGCCCCTCCGTCCTTGCCCGCGGACACACCTGCCGGTTCCGAGCTCAACGCAGCCAGCCCGCGAGGGCTGGGACTACGGCTCCTGCCCCGAATCCTCACCTGACAGGCAGCCCTCCCAGGTGCTCATGAAGTCTTTGTAAGACTCCTCCTTGGATTGGTCTCAGTTCTTTCCCTTATAAATAGGTTCCTCAAATATTTGAAGATAACTCTCCAGGCCAACATGCATCCCACATCTTTCTCTGACGTGACATCAGGTCACTCCCTTGTCGGTCTCTTCTCTGAAGAGGGATGGTTGCCTGTTCCTCCAAGCGGAGCCCGCGGCTCAGAGCTGCCCCAGACCCGCAGAGACAGAGCCTGGTCAGCTTCCAGCTGGAGTCCAGGCCGCTTTGAACACTGATGTTTCCTGCTGCGGAGGAAGCTAGTGTGGTGGCGTTGGTTCCTAATGGCCCTCATGCCGGAGAAGGAGAAACCACATTTGGAAATTCTGCTTTCTCTCTCATCCACGTAAATTCACACTCTGCTTCAAACAGCAGATTTATCCCTTCTCTCTCTTACTTCTGTTTCCTGCCAGGAAAAAGAGTCTATTTGCTCTTAGCCCCCCACCCCCCAATCTTAGCTCATTAGGGCCCCTGCCTATTAGTTCTATATTCATCTCTGATTATAGGCCCCTCCCTGCCCAGGCTCTGTCTTGAGCGACTCCTTGTGCTGGTGGAGCCCGTGCTCACCTTGCTCCCTCCTGCTGAGAGCCGGGGACACTTGGGAGCCCCTGCGTTCTCTTCCATCACCCTCCCTTTGCCAGGACCTAGCCTTGGACTCTGCCTCTCTCTTCTGAGCTTCTGGAATTCCAGCTTCCTAAGGAGTGCGTATCTGGCTGTGCTTTTCCATCCTGTGCTGTCAGGGACTCTGAGATGCGCGGTCACTTCTATGAAGGCCTGGCTCGCCCACCTCACCTGTCAGTCGCTGTCCTGATCCAGCAAACCCTGCTGCTCGTGGTCAGAGGTTTTCCTCTCACCACACAGGACCGAGAGCTGACTGCTGTGAGTTTGGTCTCTGGGCAATGCCCTGCTTGGTGATGCTCAACTAATGAAAGTGTAAACGGACCCAGGAGCCAGCATCTCCTCTGAGATGCTCACAGATCAAGTTCACGTCAGCTTCAGACTGGAGGAGCATCTGCCTTACCGTCCACGATTCGGAGTGGGTCTGACTCCAGCAGGAAGAGACTAATTAACGTCATTACATTAATGGTAGTTATTGTTAGGACTGGAGTCTTTTTTTTAAATTGCGTATTCATTCTCTTTTTTCTTTTATTTATTTTTTATTGATTTTAGAGAGAGAGGAAGGGAAAGGGAGAGAAATAGAAACATCAACAAGAGAGAATATCCATTGGCCGCCTCCTGCACGCCCCCCCATTGGGGATCGGGTCCCCAACCTGGGCATGTGCCCTGACCAGGAATCCAACCAGCGACCTCTTGGTGCAGGGCCGATGCTCAGCCACTGAGCCACACCGGCCGGGCTAGGACAAGTCTACTGTGGCTGACATGGCAGGGATTGCTGACAAGGAGTTCTCAGACGCAGTCGGTTCTCCAGGACCAGCGGCGTCATTTGTGATACCTAACTTGGCAGAATTAGACCCAATGAAATGAAATATGTAACCTGTCGAGGGTAATACTTAAAGATGTCATGTGCTGTCCAGATAGGCTAGGCTGTGTTGCAGTGACCTCCCCCCAGATCTTAACACAACCATGGTTTATTCTGGTTCACTAAGGTCAGCTGAGGGTACAGGTGATTGTCCAGATTACCTGGCCTTCAGGTGGCACCTTGATCATCCAGATGAATAGAGGTTTCACCTGCCTGAGACTGCAACACCTGGAAAACATGCGCTCTCCCATTCAACTGGGAGAGTGGAGCGCTGTCAACTCCTTGGAGATGACTTGCCTGGTGTCTGCTCCTGCTTCACTGGTCAGATCACATGGCTGCTTCCAACTTCAAGGGAGCCCGGAAGCACAGTCCCCAGCAGTAAGGTCCTCCAAGGTCACTGTTCTGCTCTTTTTCACACAGGTACTTTGACGAGCCGCTGGAGTTAAGGAGCAGTTCTTTTTCTAGCTGGGATGACAGTTCAGATTCCTATTGGAAAAAGAAGAGCATCAAAGAGACTGACACAGTTCTGAAAACCACAGGCTATTCAGACAGGTATGAAGAACAGAGCAGTGGGATTGTAATAGTGGATCCATGCGTCTCTAAGAAAAGTCTCCAGGACTATGATTTTGTTCTACTATTTTTTTTTATCCTCACCCGAGGACATTTTTCTATTTTTTGTTCAGATAGAGTGGGAGGGAGAGGAAGAGAGAGAGAGAGAAACATCGACGTGAAAGGGACACATCGAGTGGTTGCCACCCGCACGACTAACCAGGGCCGGGGACAAACTGCAACCGAGGTTCGTGTCCTTAGCAGGAACCGAACCCGGGTCTCTCTGGACCGCAGACTAATGCTCTGACCGCTGAGCCAAACTGTCCAGGGCTTGTTCTACTATTTTAAGAATTTTCTTGGTATTCTGGCCAGTTTTCTGACCTTACCTTTCCCAGAATGTGGCATAAGTGGAATTTTGTAGTAACTGGCCTGTTTAGATTGGTTTATTGACTTTTCTTAGTGCTTTGAAACTCATTCATATTGTTGTGTTCAGTTCTCTTTATTATTGAGTCTGTTTATCCATTCACCTGTTGAAGAACTGTCTCCAGTTTGGGGGATTATGAATGAAGGACTGTTTAATTTATTTTCCAAACAGGGAACGTTGATAGTGCAAAGTGACACTACCAGTATGTTGGGACAACAAGTATAACCAGGGATTGTCCTGCATATTTGGAACTGAAGCTCATCCTCCTCATTCTGTGTCTTATATAACAGGAGGTGGTATCTTACATCCATTACAGTGGTTCAGTGTTTACTGGCAGATCTGTGGGACAGAGAGTGAAATAACAGGTCTATTTTGTTGTTGTTGTTAATCCTCACTGGAGGACGTTTTTCCACTGAGTTTTAGAGAGCGGAAGGGAGTGAGAGAGAGAGAGAAAGAGAAACATTGATGTGGTTGCCTCCCACATGACCCCTACTGGGGCCAGGGACGAACCTGCAACCCAGGTATGTGCCCTTGACTGGGAATTGAAGCCAAGGCCCTTCAGTCCACATGCCAACACTCTAACCGCTGAGCCATACTGGCTAGGGCAACAGGCCTATTTTATTTTATTATTATTATTCTTTATCCTCACCTGAGAACATTTTTGCATAGAGCGAAAGAGAGAGAGAGAGAGGAAGAGAGAGGAAGAGAGAGAGAGAAACATCAATGTGAGAGAGAGACATCGAGTGGTTGCTACCCCAACCAGGGCCAGGGACAAACCAGCAAAGGAACATGCGCTTAGTGGGAACTGAACCCAGGACTCTCTGGACTGTGGGCCAACGCTCTAACTACTGAGCAAAACCGGCCAGGGCAATAGGCCTATTTTAAATGGAAAATTCCTGCAAATGTTTTGTGATTTGAATGTGTATTGATTTTTTTTTTTTTTGCTAGAATTTTTAGGCATTTTAAAAGTTGCCTGAGATCCTTTTACAAAATTATTGCTGTTGGCTTTTTAAGAAAGTAAAATGGCCCTGGCCGGTTTGGCTCAGCGGTTAGAGCGTTGGCCTGCGGTCTGAAGAGACCCGGGTTCGGTTCCCACTAGGGACGTGTGCCTCAGTTGCAGTTTGTCCCTGGCCCTGGTTGGGTTGTGTGGGTGGCGACCACTCGATATGTCCCTTTCACATTAATGTTTCTCTCTCTCTCTCTCTCTCTCTCTCCCTCCCACACTATCTGAACAAAATATAAAAAAAAAAAAAAAAAAGAAAGTAAAATGGCAGGTGTATACATTATAAATAAGAAACACATTTGCCTCACCTCAAATTAGTTTAACCTATTTGCTGGGTTTTTTGTTTGTTTTTGGTTTTTGTGCTGAGAACACAATATCTACTCTGTAGCAAATTTCAAGTATACACTACAGTATTATTAACTATAGTCACTACGCTGTACATTAGATCCTCAGGACTTATTCATCTTATAAATGAAAATGTGTACCTTTGACCAACATCTCATTTCCTCACCCCCATCTCCTCCCCACCATTCTACTCTGTTTCTGTGAGTCTGACATATTAAAAAGAATTTGGATTCCACTTATAAATTAGATCATACAGTATTTGTCTTTTCTGTCTGGCTTATGTCACTTAACATGACATCCTCCAGATTCATCCATGTTGTCATAAATGGCAAGGTGTCCTATTTCATGGCAAAATAATATCCAATTGTATATACATGTAACATTTTCTTCATTCATTCACCCATTGACAGGCACTTAGGTTGTTCCTTGCCTTGGCTATTGTGAATAGTGCTTCAGTGAACATGGAATTGCAGCCATCTCTTCAAGATACTTTGTCTGTTTTAAAAATACACCCAGAAGTGGGATTACTAGATCGTATGATATTTCTATTATTTTTTTGAGGGACCTTCATACTGTTTTCCATAGTGGCTGCACTAAATTATGTTCCCACCAACAGTGTGTAGTGGTTTCCTTTCCTCTCGTCCTTACCAACTTCTCTTGTGTCTTTTTGATGAGAGCCACTCTACCAGGTGTGAGGCGGCACCTCCTTTTGGTTTTGCTTTGCACTTCCCAGGTGATCGGTGACGTCGAGCATCCTTTCGTGTACCTACTGGCTATAAACGTTCCTGTTAGAACTGCTTTTGCTATAGCCCATAAGTTTTGGTGTGTTGTGTTTCCATTTTCATTTGTTTCAAGATATTTTTATATTTTTTCTTTAACAGGAATGTGTTCATTTCCACTTTTTGTGAATTTTCCAGTTTTCCTCCTGTTGTCAATTTCTACTTCTATACCATTGTGGTTGAAAAGATACTTAATATAATTTCAGTCTTTTTAAATTTGTTAAGCCCTCACATACAATTTGAATTTGTTTTGTGACCTAACACGTGATTTGTCCTGAAGGTTCTTGTGTGTGCCTCAGAATGCATGTTCTGCTGTCAGTGGGAGGTCCTGAACGTGTCTGTTGGTCCATTTGGTCTGACATATGGTTCAAGTGCAATTTTCCCTACTGATTTTCTGACTGGGTGATGTGTTCATTGTTGAAAGTGGGTTATTGAAGTCTATTATCGTTGCAGTACTGTCTGTTTCTCCCTTCAGATCTGTTAATATTTGCTTAACATACTTAGATGCTCCAATGTTGGTGCATAGATACTTATAATTGTTTTATCCTCTTGATGAATTGACCCCTTTATCATTATATGATGACCTTTGTTTCCTGTCACAGTGTTTGGCTTAGAGTCTGTTTTGTCTGATATAAATATGGCTGTCCCTGCTCTCGTTTGGTTTCCACTTACATGGAATAACTTTTCCATCTCTTAACGTTCAGCCTATATGTGTCCTTGAAACTGAAGTGAACCTCACCCAGCCAGTGTGGCTCAGTGGTTGAGCATAGACCCACGCACCAAGAGGTGGCCGGTTTGATTCCCAGTCAGGGCATATGCCCAGGTTGTGGGCCTGATCCCCAGTGGGGGACGTGTAGGAGGTGGCCAGTCGTTCTCTCTCATCGATGTTTCTATCTCTCTCCCTCTCCTTTCCTCTCTCTCTAAAAATCAATAAAGAAAAAAAGAAACTGAGCCCTGGCCCATTTGGCTCAGCAGTTAGAGCGTTGACCTGCGGTCCAGAGAGACCCGGGTTCGGTTCCCGCTAAGGGCGCGTACCTCGGTTGCAGTTTGTCCCCGGCCCTGGTTGGGTCATGCGGGTGGCAGCCACTTGATGTGTCCTTTTCACGTCGATGTTTCTCCCTCTCTCTCCCTCTTTCTCCCTCCCACTCTATCTGAACAAAAAATGGAAAAATGTCCTCGGGTGAGGATAAAAAAAAAAAGAAAAAAAACTGAAATGAATCTCACATAAGCGGCCTGTAGTTGTGTCTTGTGGGTTTTTTTTTTTAATTCATTCAGTCACTCTACCTTTTTTAATTTTTTTTTTTAATCCTCACCCGAGGACATTTTTGCATTTATCTTCAGATAGAGCAGAAGGGAGAGAGGGAGGAAGAGAGAGAGAGAAACACCGATGTGAGAGAGACACATTGACTGGCTGCCATCCACATGATCCCAACCAGGGCTGGGGACAAACTGCAACCGAGGCACACGCCCTTAGCGGGAACCGAACCTGGGACTCTCTGGTCCCTGGGCCGATGCTCTAACTGCTGAGCCAAACTGGCCAGGGCTGCTTTTTTTTTTTTTTTTTCAGTCCTCATCTAAGAATATGTTTATTGATTTAGGGGGAGAGAGAGAGAGAGAGAGAAACATTGATGTGAGAGAGAAACATCAATTGCTTGCCTTCTATAAGTGCCTGACTGGGGATAGAACCCACAACCTAGGTATGTACCCTGACTGGGAATCAAACCTGCATCCTTTTGGTGTACAGGACAACACTGCAACCAACTGAGCCACCTGGCCAGGGCAGTCACTCTATCTTTTGATTGGAGATTTTAATCCATTTACATTTAAAGTGACTGTTGATAGGTAAGATTATAATTGCCATCTCATTGTTTTCTGCTTATTTTGTGGTTCCCTTGTTCCTCCCTCTCCTGCTGTTTTCCTTTGCGATTTGATTCCTTTCTCTTTCTCTTTTGTAAATGTACTGTAGGTGTTTATTCTGTCATTTCCATAGGCTTACATTAAACATAGTTATAGCAACCTATTTTAAGCTGGTAACAGCTTAACTGGGATTGCATACAAAAACTCTACCCTTTTCTCTCCCCACCTACATTTCATGTTTTTGATGTCACAATTTACATTTTTTATATTGTGTATTCACTAACACTTTTTCCACTAACAAATTATTGCTGCTATAGTTATTTTTACCACATTAGTCTTTTAACCTTTATATTAGAGTTAAGTGATTTATACACCACCATTATAGTATTAGTATTCTGAATGTTACTTTACCAGTGAGTTTTATACTTTCATATATGTTCATGTTACTAATTAACAGCCTTCCATTTCAGCTTCCATTCCAGCACTTTTTAAAAAAATATGTTTTTATTGATCTTAGAGAGGAAGGGAAAGGGAGAGAGAAACATCGATGTGAAAAAGAAACATCAATTGGCTGCCTCCTGCACACCCCCTGCTGGGAATCGAGCCTGCAGTTCAGGCAGGTGCCCTGACTGGGAATTGAACTAGCAACCTTTTGGTACATGGGATGACGCCCAACCAACTGAGCCACACTGGCCAAGGCTCTATCAGCAGTTTTAATATATCATCCCACTATCTCATGGTCTACAAGGTTTCTGCTGAGAAACCTGCTGATAGCTTTCCAGGAATTCCATTGTATGTGACGAGTTTTCTTGCTTTTACTACTTTAAAAATTCTCTTTGTCTTTGATTTTTGACAGTTTTATTATAATGTGTCTTGCTGAAGACCTCTTTGGATTGAATCTGTTTGGGGATTGTGAGCTTCATCTATCTGGATGTCCATATCTCTCTCCAGATTGGGGACGTTTTTTGGCCGTTATTTCTGTTTCGTTTGTCTGTCTGTTTATTTGTTTTATCCTCACCCAAGGACATTTTTCCATTTTTTGTTCAGATAGAGTGGGAGGGGGAGAGAGAGAGAGAGAGAAACATCGATGTGAGAGAGACACATCGAGTGGCTGCCACCCACACAACCCCAATCGGGGAGGGGGACAAACTGCAACCGAGGTACGTGCCCTTAGCAGGAACCAAAACCGGTCTCTCCAGACTGCAAGCCGACACTCTAACTGCTGAGCCAAACCGGCCAGGGCTATTTCTATTGTTTTTTAATCTTTGCCCAGTGATATTTTTCCATTGATTTTTTTAGATAGAATGGAAGGGGAGGAGAGAGAAAGAAAAACATTGTTGTGAGAGAGACACATCCATTGATTGTCTCCCGCATGACCCCGACCAGGGCTAGGGATCAAACCTGAAACCCAGGCATGTGCCCTTGACTGGGAATCAAACCTGTGACCTTTTAGTTGTAGGTCGATGCTCTAACTGCTGAGCCATACCGGCCAGGGCTAGTCATTATTTCTTTAAATAAACTTTCTGTCCCTTTCTCCTTCTCTTCTTCTTGGTTTCCCATATGTATAAGTTGTTCTCTTGATGGCATCCCATAATACATGTAGGTTTTCTTCACTCTTTCTCATTTTTTGTTTCCACCTCTGGAAAATTTCAAATGAATTATCTTTGAGTTCACAGACTTGTTCTTCTGCTTAAGTATGTTGTTGATGCTCTCTGTGACCGTTTTCACTTTCTTCGTTGTATTCTTCAGCCCCAGAGTTTCTTTTTGGTTCTGTTTTATGATTTCTGTGTCTCTGTTGAACTTCTCGTTTTGTTAGTGTATTATGTGCCAGATTTCATTGAGTTGTCGATCTGTGTCCTTGTACATTGCTAAACTTCCTTAAAACAAGTATTTTAAATTCTTTGTCAGGCAATTCTTTTGGGGCCAGATACTGGAAAATTATTGTGGTGTCATGTTTCCTTGATTTTTCATGTTCCTTGGAATTTTGTGTTGCTGTTTTTGTGTTTGAAGAAGCATTACTCCTCCAGAATTAATGACTGACTGGCTGTGGGTGAGAACTGTTCAGCAGTCAGCCCTGCTCGGCGTCTGAGGCTTTCTCAGGCCCTCTCTATGGATGTGCCCACTCCACACTTCTTAGTCCCTTTCGGAGGCGGATTTCTAAGTGGCGTATCTTCTCCCGGTCCCACAAAGCCTCCGCCAGGCGCTGAGAGCTTTCTGTTTGCTTTCCTAGGGTGGGGCCCTGAAGTGCTCGCGTTCATGTGCTTTCTCCCACTCCCACGCATCAGGCTGGCTTTCTGCACATGCTCACTGCTGTCTGCAAAGGCTTACACCCACCATCTGCATGTGCACGGTGCCAGCTATAGTGGGGGGAGGGTTGCATGGGTGAAGGGCACAGGGCATTGGATGGCACCTGTGGCCCATTTGGGAGCTCTGCAGATAACGTGCACCCAGCATCTTGTGAGTGGGCCTCATGGAGTCTACAGAGTGCTTAGTAGGACCCATGTGCCTTTGATGAGTTCCACGCCCTGGCTGCTGTGCTTCTAGCCTGGCCCAGCCCTTGGCTGTGTCCCACCGAGCTGGGGAAGCCAGGTACCCGCTCGGTACCCTCTCACTTTCCCCCAAGGGAGAAATTGGGTGTCAAGTGGGTCTCTCTTGGCAGCAGTGATGCCTCGGGGGTGGGATGCTGTGGGCAATGTGACACTGTTCCTCTTACCTTCTTTAATGTGCCCAGTCTCGTTGGCTTCAGTGGTGTGCTGGAGCCTCTGCTGGACTCCTGGGCCCCACAAAGGCTTTCTCATCTGTGGGTGATTGTCAGTGTCAGTGTTCTGTAGGAGGAGGGTGCAGAAAGCTCCTATTCTCCACCTTGCTGATGTCACTCCTATTTTGGCTATTCCTAATGTAGACCCACTGCTCGCCGCAAGCCGGACTATGAGCCAGTAGAAAATACAGATGAGGCCCAGAAGAAGTTTGGCAACGTCAAAGCCATCTCATCAGATATGTACTTTGGAAGACAGGCCCACACTGATGTAAGTGTCTGGAGAGTTTCTGTGTGTGCCCCATGGAACAGGGGCCTGGGAACGTGGGAGCGGGTGACAGGCGCGAAGTGAGATGGACTGAGGCTGCGGGAGGACCCGGCCCCGGAGCGGGAGCCAGGACTCGGCCCAGGGCTTTCTGACCGACGCCTCAGCGTGCTGCCCAGCTGGGGGGGCGACCGGAAGGGGGGCCGCGTGTCCTCTTTCTCCTACTCCGTTCTCAGTGTTCTGAATAGCCATCCACTCAGTATCTTTTGAATAACTTCAGACAAGTTTGGTCCAGCTGTGTAATTTACTTAATTTTTAACCACCGTTAAATGAAGAATACATGTCTGTTTTTGAAAGATATGGTTATTTTCAAGTTGTTGCTTGTCTTAGTGGAATCTCGCTAAGCAATCAAACCCAAGTGGAGGTGAGGGGTAGGCTGCCTTCTAATTCTGAAGTGCCACGTGCCATGCAGAGCGCTTGGGCTCTCCAGAGAATTCTGGCCTAAAATGGACTCGTTTTGTTTTGTAGTACTTTCTCCACATTTTAAAAAAAGTGTTTTTTTTTTGTCCTTTATTGACTTTGAGAGAGAAAGGAAGGGAGAGGTAGAGAGAGAGAGAAACATCGATGAGAGAGAACATTGATCGGCCGCCTCCTGCGTGCCCCACTGGGGATTTGGCCCACAACCTGGGCATGTGCTCTGACCGGGAATCGAACCAGCGACCTCTTGGTGCATGGGCCGCCACTCAGCCACTGAGCCACACCGGCCGGGCAAACTTTCTCCACATTTTAAGAGTATTTAGAGAAACACACTAGGCTTTTCCCACAATCCCTAAAAATCTCCCTTGCTTTAAAGTTGACAATGTTCAAGTTCAGTTACAAAAGAACATAATGTGTGTTGTAAGAGAGCTTCGGGGAGTGGTCCTTCCCGGTGAGGGCGGTGAGAAAGCCCCGTGACAGATGCCGTTCTCCCGCCTTGCTCTGGCCTTCCGCTGCACTGCTGCCTGGCCCTGCCTCGCTCTCTGACCTTCCGCTGCACTGCTGCCTGGCCCTGCCTCATTCTCTGACCTTCCGCTGCACTGCTGCCCGGCCCTGCCTCGCTCTCTGACCTTCCGCTGCACTGCTGCCCGGCCCTGCCTCATTCTCTGACCTTCCGCTGCACTGCTGCCTGGCCCTGCCTCGCTCTCTGACCTTCCGCTGCACTGCTGCCTGGCCCTGCCTCATTCTCTGACCTTCCGCTGCACTGCTGCCTGGCCCTGCCTCATTCTCTGACCTTCCGCTGCACTGCTGCCTGGCCCTGCCTCGCTCTCTGACCTGTCCGCGCGCGACCTGCCCGGCCCTGCCTCGCTCTCTGACCTGTCCGCGTGCGACCTGCCCGGCCCTGCCTCGCTCTCTGACCTGTCCGCTGGCACTGCTGCCTGGCCCTGCCTCGCTCTCTGACCTGTCCGCGTGCGACCTGCCCGGCCCTGCCTCGCTCTCTGACCTGCCCGCTGCACTGCTGCCTGGCCCTGCCTCGCTCTCTGACCTGTCCGCGTGCGACCTGCCCGGCCCTGCCTCGCTCTCTGACCTGTCCACGTGCGACCTGCCCGGCCCTGCCTTGAATGGCGCTCAGCGGCTGTTGGAGAGAGCGGAGGCCCCCTCGGGTGACAGCTCCTCAGAGATGCTGTGTGAAAGCGGCTGTGGGGTTTGGAGCTAACGTCCCTTTCCCTGGTCTTGTCTAGCATGAAACCCGGGCCCGGCTGGAGAGGCTCTCAGGAAGCTCCTCCATAAGCTCAGCCGACCTGTTCGACGAGCAGAGGAAGCCGACGGAAGGTGAGGAGGGAGGTTCTGTGGCATGGATGCACTTTCTCAGGACTTGACCTGTCCTCTGATGCGCTTACCTCCTCTGTGAGTCAGCTAAAGGGGAAGCTACTAGTTCCCGCTTCGCATGCGAGGGGACCAAGCTGTAGTTCTGCAGCAGCCCCGAGTTCCTGTCCTAGAGCGCTGTCACAGAGGAGTGTGTCTGCAGAGCAGAACGGGTGACCTCCCTCACTGTGAGACCGTGAATCTTTCATGTCGCGTTTAGCCGCCGCCTCCTCTGTAAAGTGGGTGGATTCATTCCTGCCTCGCAGGCTGCACTGAGGCTGAACGAGGAACTGCACGCAAAGTGCCCTCCCGGCCAGGGGCAGGCAGAGCAGGTGGGACCGGAGACTCCCTCGGCTTCGTCTTGCAGGGAAGACAGTACAGGCAGATGGAGAGGAACCTCTGTCTCCCCATCCTTTCTCAGGGTCCAGTCTGCAGTGGGGAGATGTCGGGGAGCCCCTGGGACTGAGCCTGAGAGCCGGCACCCCAGGTGTCTAGAGCTGTGCCAACCTTTGCTCTGCTCTGTCCCTACATCTGGGAAGGCCAGGTTCGAGCCCCACCGGGGCTGCGCCAGGCCACAGGCAGAGGAAGTGCAGGCCCCTGGTGCCACATTTGAAGGAGCCGTGTCTTCCGAGGTCGTCTCAGGAACCTGTTCACCAGCAGGAGAGCCCAAGGGGTGGGATCTCCAGAGCCAGGCATCGGGCCCAGTCCCGCCTGCTCCTGCCTCATTTGTAACCCTGGAGGAACTGGGCACGGGCATGGGCATGGGGTAACCAACACGGGCAGCCACACAGAACAACTGTTTTCTGAGTCCAGAGAGAAACAGCCTCAATAGAGAAGGTTATAGAGCAGACCTGAGTGCCGGGGCCTTCTGTGTTGAGGTTTGGGGGCGTTAGAAGGCCCTCCGGTGCAGTGGGCACTGCCAGCCATTTGTGCTCAGTGAGAAGGCATGTTCCAGATCCACAGTGCCTGTGAGCCCAGGTGGGTGCTGACCGCAGGGACAGGCAAGGGCTGGGGCCTCGGCTGCTGCAGGGTGGCCTCTGGGCTGAGGATACCTTGAGCTCTGCCCTGACCCCCGCAGGAGGGGCTGGTTGCTCCGACTGGGTGTTTCCTGCTCTGCATGGGGTGTGGCTCGTGGGCCTGCTCATCTCCAGCTTTCAGTGTCCCGGCTCTTGTCAAGGCCACTTCTTTTTTGTTTGTTTCTTTCTTTGTAGGGAGAGAGAGGGGAAAAGAGAGAGAGAGAAACATCAATGTGAAAGGGGCACATCGAGTGGCTGCCACCCGCACGACCAACCAGGGCCGGGGACAAACTGCAACCGAGGTACATGCCCTTAGCGGAAACCGAACCCGGGTCTCTCCGGACCACAGAAGGCCACTTCTTTTGTGCAGCCCCTGGCAGAGGGGTGCTCGGCCCTTTGGAGGTCTCCCAGCAGTCTCACCTTTGCCCCCCGCGGGTCGGTGCTCTGTTGCCTCGAAGGAGCCCTGGCACAGGCGGGTCAGTCCAGAGAGCCTGCGTGCTGAAAATCACCCGGCAGTGTGTCCCTTTGTTATTCACGTCACTGGCAGCTCCCTCTGGACTGTTCTGCTTGCTAGACACCTGCGATCGCACGAGAGCAGGCTTTCCAGGCCAGCCTGTGCTCACCCTCCTGCCCCTTCCAGAGAACAAAGGTTCGTTTTTTTGGCCCATTGTGGGTCCCAGGCAAACTCTGGTTCATGGGGACCTGCAGTTACGGTATGGGAGCACTGTGGGTTGCTAGGCTGCCCAGAGACCTCCCCCGAAAGCAGGCCAGTTCATGTTGTGTCCTCAGCACCAGGCCCACTAGGGGTTATGAGGACAGAAAGCAGGGAATGGAGACCTGGCCTAGTCCACGGGGCAGGGAGCCTCTTCCTGAAGAAGCGACTTGCACTGGCCTTTCCCAGAGCCCATTGCGGAGCCTGAGCCCACCTGGGCTGCCTTCCGCCTCTGCCACCCCCGCGCCCGCAGAGGGGACAGTGCCAGCTGCCCGAGGAGGAGGACTGCTGGGCACCCAGAGCAGCAGGTCCACGGGGAGGGTAGCAGGGAACTCCTTGCAGAGTCACCTCTCCCCTGGAGCTTAGATCCTTAGTGAGGACTGAGTCATGGAAACATACAGTGACAAGGCCCAATCAGCTCTGAGTTTGTTTCCCGCTCACGTACGGTCTGGGGAGGTGGCTCGGGACAGGTGTGTTGTGTCCCCTGCGTCAGGGCCCAGCCCCTCATCTTGTTCATGCTCCCTGTCTCTCCTTCGCCGCGTGCGCAGTGCGGCTGCGCCAGCTCTGGTCATCACATTTGCATCCGGCCAGCAGGAGGGAGGAAGAGGGCAGGCAGAGGGCGTGCCGCCCCGTGAGGCTCCTCGGCTGCATCCTGCCCCCAGAACTCGCTCACTGGACACACTGCTACAAGGCTTCGAACTCGGGAGTCTGTGCAGAGAAGGGGAGGCGAGGGGTGGCGTGGGGCCTGTTAGCCATCCCGGGGCCCTGGGGACTGGACGTCGTCAGCGAAGGCTAAACGTCCCACAGCCGCTCTGCCCAGGCCCGGGCAGGTTCTCGGGGGCCACACGTCAGAGGGCTCTGTGGAGCCTTAGGGGGTCCTGCCTCAGCTCTGCTCTCCTCTGTGAACATCACCCGGGGTGGAAACTCATCCTCTGGTCCCCACCTGCGCAGCCGCTCTGGGCCTGTCTTCGGGCGGCGGGGCTGTGGCTCTGACCCTTCGTGCTCAGGCTCCCACACGGGGCCTGTTTGCCGTCGAGGCCCCTTTTACAGGCAGGCGGCTTGCTGGGGAGGGGCCGTGTGGGGCCCGAGCCCAGACCCCGCCGCGGGCCTCTGCCCTGGCACTGGCAAAGGCCCACACAGTTTTTAAAAGTCTGCCTGAGGCGAAGAGGGGAAGACCCCACACCCATGGCCCCTCCCCACGCAGCGCTGCAGGTAGACACGTGCTTCGGTGCTGTCGGAGCGGAGGACAGACGTGTCCTTTCTGTTCTGTTCTCGGAAGGCCCTGGCTTCTGGTGCTTAAGGGCCAGGCCGGTGTGGACAGGTCATGTGTGGTGCCACGGGGGTAATGGCTGGGCTCCCTCGAGGACCCGCAGGGTTGGGGTTCACTCACAGTCCCCGAGCCCCTCCAGCATCTGACTGCAATTGGGTGACAAAATGTCACCACGATATCCCAGTGTTGAGCTTTCTGTGTGATAATGCTCATGTACCTGACCTGCCTCAGTGGCACTGTGCTAGTGTTTGTGGAGGGGCAACAACACTTAGCGACAGAACCCCCGCTGTCACTGGCCTCGGCAAGGGGGTGAGGGGTCGGCCCCTGTACCTGGGAGGTTGGCGGCGGGTTTGGCTCCATCTCAGGCTCAGAGCAGCGTGGGGACAGGCCCACCCATATGGGGCACCTCCCTGGGTGAGCCTCCTGTTGTGCAGGCTTCCTCCCCCTCCTTGAGCAGTGAGAGGGAGGGGACAGCCTGAGCCACTGCTGGGGAGGTGCCTTAGCCCCACCAGTAACCCCAGAGCAAGGACAGAGCTCCTCTCGCTGGAGTATACAATTCAGGGAAGGCTCTGATTGGCCAGGCCTGGGTCACGTGCCCATCCCTTTGGGTGGGGTCCTTGGGAGAGGCCACCCCAGAGGAAGGGAGAAGGGCTTTCCTGAGAGGTGGGGAAAGGATGCCGAGCACACGGAAGCCCCAGATGTTTCTGTGTTATGTACCGTCAGGGCTTGTGTGAAGCCCGGAGGAAATAGGGGCCCAGAGAAGGAACCTCTCCAGAGGTACACAGCTTGAAAGTGGAGGTGCCAGTATGGAGTCCATGGTGCTCTCCAGACCCAGGACCACATCTCTCATGTGGGGTCTCACAACTGGTCGTAAACGCAGGACAGTAGGGCTGGTGCTAAAACCCGAGTCCTGACCCCAAGGAAAAGGGATCCTTTTCCCTTGACCCCATCTGCTGCTCATGGGAAGCAGGAGGGGTGGGGGACCCACGATCTCTGCAGTCATCGAGTGGCCGGGCACCGGCGGTGCCGCTGTGGCGGCAGAGTGACGAGCCAGCGTCTGCTCTGTGTGCAGGAAACTACACCCTCTCGAGCGTGCTGCCCACCGCGCCCGACATGGCCCAGCTGAAGCAGGGAGTGAGGTCCGTTGCTGGGAAACTCTCGGTCTTTGCTAATGGAGTCATGACTTCGATTCAGGTCAGTGCAACTGCAATGACATTATCTGAGTATGATGGTGGGTTCGGTTTTGAAAATGAGATTTGGACCACTCTTTGGTTGCTGGAAAATTAGATTTTATATCATTATCTATATGTTTGCTACAGTGTAACCAAGGATATCATAAAAAACAAGAAGTTATAATTTTATATTTGTTTAAATTTTCTAATTTATGATTCTAGGGGAATTGTTACAGGAATCGTTGTGATCATCATCCACTTTTTTCCTACATTGGAACAGAGAAATATTAAGAAGAAAATAAAAATGACTCATAATCCCACCTCATGGGGGAACATCTCTTAATATTTTGGTATATTTCTAGATTTCTATGCATTCTTTTTTTTTTTTAAATCCTCACCTGAGGATATTCTTTTTCTATTTATCTTCAGATAGAGTGGAAGAGAGGGAGAGAGAAATATCTGTCAGAGAGAGAGAAATATTGGTGCAAGAGAGACACATTGACTGGTTGCCTCCCACGTGACCCTGACCAGGGCTGGGGACCAAACTGCAACCAAGGTACATGCCCTTGACCAGAATCAAACCCACAACTCTTTGGTCTGCAGGCTGACGCTCTAACTGCTGAGCCGAACCAGCCAGGGCTCTATGCATTCTTTTCATCCTTGTATACTCTTTTTTTTTTTTTTTTTTGGTACGTGCCCCTAGCGGGAACCGAACCCAGGACTCTGGTCCACAGGCCGATATTCCAACCGCTGAGCCAAATTGGCCAGGACCATTCTTTTTATCTTTAAAAAGATATTCCGTGTATATTTTTCCAAATTAAAAAAGATTACATTGTATATATGGTTTTATATTGTTGGGTTTTTTTTAGAGAGAGAGGAAGGGAGAGCGAGAGAGCTAGAAACATCGATGAGAGAGAACATCGATTGGCCGCCTCCTGCATGCCCCCCACTGGGGATTTGGCCCACAACCTGGGCATGTGCCCTGACCGGGACTTGAACCGGCGACCTCTTGGTGCATGGGTCGACGCTCAACCACTGAGCCACACCGGCCGGGCTATATCCTGTTTTCAGATGTTTTTTTATGAGCATTTTTGTGTAATTAAAAATTCTTCAAAAACCACATTCTGTTGAATGAAAATACATGTAATTTATTTAACTATTCTTCAAGTTGGCTATCTAGAATGTATTCCAATCTTTTAAACATGGCAAAAGTGAGCCAGCTTGTATATAGGGTGTGGCAAAAGTAGGTTTACAGTTGTTCGTGTGGAAAATACAATAATTCATGAATAATAATACAGGAGTAAACTCTTTCTCATTCTCACTCTGTAAACCTACGTTTGCCCACCTCGAATAACAACCTAAGGCAAGCTCTGATCCTACGAAGGCTCATCTTGCGAACCTTCCTGTCCATGTCAAGTTATTTTAGAGGGATTCTGTCACGAGTGGACAACATGGCCACAGGGAGCCGGACCTAATGGGTGGGCGCGGGCACCTGTCCCCGCTGTTGAGGTTCCCTGGGGCTCCTGCTCATGCACTGCTGTCGGTGATGTGTCCTTGGTTAGGACTGAGCCCTCCGCGTCCCTGAGGTCGCTGAGCCCAGTCAGCCCTTCCAACTAGGTGACGCCGCTGACTTACAGATGACCGCCCCCGTTTGTAGTTGACACATTCTGTAGGTGAAGAAGTCGGGGCACGGAGAGGTTCGGTTGCTTCACTCAGCCGGACCAGCATTTCAGGGTTCAGCCTCCAAATGTGTTGCTCTGTCCCCCATCACACCTCCCCGAGGGCTCACCCCTTGGCCTGCACTGCCCGCCCTCCCAGACACTGTGCTGCTCACCGCACGGCCCCGCCCACAGCCCTGGGCCGCATGGTCTCCGGTGGGCGCCCGCAGATCCAGGCAGGTGGTGCCCTGTCAGTGGTGGGAGAGGAACTGGCGCTGAGTGCTGTGACTTTCATTCCGTTCTCTCTCCAGGATCGCTATGGTTCTTAACACTGATGCCAAGTGTTTCCCGGACAAACTCCTCCAGCGAGCCCGCGCGCCTCGCAGGCTGCCGCGGAGGCCTGCGGATGGCTTCGCTGCCTTCTCGTGGGTCTGTACACCTTACCGACGCGTGACCTTTCTCTTGATGTTGTAGAAGCTTTCTTGTCATTTCCGTTTTGTGTTACTTCCTGCACATATCCATGTATATCCTTGCTTTATTTTCTTGGAATCTGTAGTTCCAACAGCTGGGGGCCTGGAGACATGGGCCCCTCCCCCTGTCCGAGGACAGAGAGCCTTTGTGTGGGGTCTCAGCTCGTATGGACCCTGGGCAAGGGGCTCCCAGAGCCAGCTGACGCCAGTGGGTCTAGAGAAACGAAATTCACACACACATTTTCTTCAAAATGGAGCAAAGAATAAAAACAAAAGACCAAAAATGACTGGTGTCTAATTTGACAGATTGCTTCATTTATTTTTCCACATATTGAGGTGATTTCAAAATAATGTTTAAAGTCGTCTGACCCCTTGTAAGTTATTTATTTTGTGTGATCTATAAATTAAAAAATAATTTTCAGTGAGTGCTTTTAACAAACCTAAGCTGCCTTGCCAAGGGAACTAACCTTTGGCCAAGGTGAAGCGGTTCGGATTTATGGAGACGGGAAAACGCCTAAGTGCATTAGAAGCCGGTACCGCTTGCGGGATTTAAAACAAATGAGGTGAAAGGCACTCACGAAAATATTTCAGTATATGGGCAAATAGTAGTTGTAATTGGGTACTTTTGTTAATATTTTTTATCTTAATCTTTGTTTTAAAAAAAATTTCAGAATGTGTATAAATGAATAAAGACAAATAATTTGGCTGTGTTTTAGACAGCACTAGAATATATTGTTCAGAATGGTAACCTGTATTTGAAGTTTGATGAACCAGAAATGTGGTTTCAACAGAATATTTTGTGAATCTTTCTTCAAAGCCCCGATGATTAGACTTCTAAATAAACAGTTGCGGCAGACTGCATTGCTAACTTTCTTACCAAGCCTACAAAATGATCGGCGAGCGAGGCTGGTGGTGTAACATCCATGTACATTTAATGATGGGTTAATTACCGATGGATCTGTTTTTCACGTGTGTAGGGGGCCTCAAGGGCCATTGTCATTAACTGAGATAGCTCGATGACGGGGTGGGGGGGTCCCTGCTGAAAGTGAAGTGTGCAGAGTGGCATCTTCCAAGCCCAAAGGGCTGTCACCACAAGGTCCCGCCGAGCGGGGCCTTAAACAGCAGAATGCATCATCCCACGGTTCTGGGGGCCGAAGTCCGGGGTCCCGCTGCCAGCAGGATGGTGTCTGGCGAGGCCTCTGCCCCTGGCCTGGGGAAGGCCACCTTCCCCTCTGTGTCTCACGTGGCCAGAGATCCCAGTGTCTTCTGTCCTGCACTCCAGTCCTCTGGGACCGAGGCCCGCCCTATGACCTTGTTTATCTTGACTTCCTAAAGGCCCTGTCTCCAAATACAGTCCCCTTGGGAGTTAGGGCTTCCCCATGTGGATTTAGGGGGACGGAGTTCAGTCCACAGCAGTGTCCACAAGAAATTCTCACACTGGGTGGTCCTGCTCCAGGCTGGCGCCTGGGCCTGCTACACCTCCTGGGAGTTTCCTCCCCACAGGTTACATCCCCAGTTTTCAGGGGGAGGGGAGGGCCAGACTCTGCGGAAGGTCACTCCCTTTGCCCTGAATGAGCCTGCTTTTCCCCATCACTGATGCCTCAAGGGAAGGGCCGGGGCAGCCGCCCCCCAGGCCTTGCCAGGGCACCTCTCCTGGGCTCTCCACACGCGGCTTCAGGGCCCCGCGCCCAGTGGAGCCTCGGAGGGGACAGTGACGTCGACGCTGCACTGCGCAGGCCAGTCTGCCCGTCGGGGGCCTCCTTACCCCCAGCACATGTGCAGTTGTGAACGTGTGTGCGTGTGCGTGACTGTAGTTGTGTGCCTGGCCCGTTTATCCTCGGGCCTCAGTGTTGTGTTTACAGTCAGTTTGCATAGGTGCTCACGTGGTAAAGAGCGTGGTGACCTGACCGTCAGGGGCCAGGCCTGTGTCTGGAGGACTGGGGCGGCAGAGCAGGGAGCGGGAGGGGAGGGTGTGTACTACTTTACAGAGCTCTTACCAGAACAGATTTGCTTGGAACAGCAGGTTTTGGTCCCCTTGAAGAGCTGTGGGAATGTGGGTGAACGGGGAGAGCTGTCGGTGCCACTCTGGAGAGGGGCATGCCCAGTGAGACGGCACCTGACGAAGAGACGAGCCTGTGGGCCTGGGTGACGCAGGGGCAGGGCCAGCCCAGCCCCTCCGACCGGAGGGCCTTCATGCACCGGCTCCTCCCACACGGCTCGCCCCACTCCCCGTCCTTGCAGCCAGCCAGGCGGGGCGTGTCCCCTCCGAAGGAGCCCTCCAGGGCTCCATCCAGAGCCCCGTGGCCCCTCGCACGTCACCAGCCACCTCGGTCCCCACCATTCATTTCATTTGTCCTCCTGCCCACACCCGCTCCCAGCACCCAGAGAGCCCGTGGCCGTGAACAAAGAGTATCTCAGGTGGCCATGAGCGCCGACCCCCCAGTCGCGTGGTAGGCATCGGGGCCACACGAGGCCCGGGCGCCCTGGTTCGAGGTCTGGGCCTGCCCCTGGGCGTCGGAGTACCGTGGCCTCCCAGAGTCAGACACCAGGACCCAACCCTGCCCCGACTGCCGCTCCTGGGCCCTGCTGGGCCGGGAGGTGAGGTCACTAACCTTCCTCCCCAACCCCAGAAACTTCCGCTCTCGTGGTCACAGGACTCAGTTCCCTTGTTTGCTCGGCCCTGTGATCAGTGTGCAGAGGCCCCCGTGCTGTGTCCCTTTCCCGGGCCGGTTTCCTCCGTCTGCAGTTCTTGTCTGCTTGCCCGGCCCTTGGTCTCACCCACAAGAGTGCAGTGGCAGGAACGCCAGCCGGGACCTGGCACGGACAGAGGGCTGGACGGACGAACAGACGGGATAGTGAGGGAGCAGACCCCAGGGGTCTCTCCAGCCACACAGGCTCGTTGTCTTGGAAACAAGCTCGGATGCCCGGTCTCCCTCCCTCTCCAGGGCCTGAGCACACCCCCTGAGGGGGGCGCTGTCCAGCCCAGATGAGTGGCCCTGCCTCGGGAGTTCCTTTCTTGACAAGACCTGGGAGGCCCGAGCCCAGTTCCTCTCTCGAGCCTGCTGTCCTTTCTGTCACCCGATGCCGGGAGCCTTGCCTGCACCACACCCTGGGGACGGTGCTGACCGCCCTCTGGGCTGTCGGAGCCGAACAGGCCAGAGGCCGGCAGTGCTCAGGGGCGGCCACGCGCATGCTCAGGCCCCCAGGGCTCGGCCTGAGGCTGGGCCATCAGTGCCAGTCACTGAGTCCAGGACACCCCGCCATCGAATGCCCTGCACCCCGACGTGCAGGCAGCTACCCCACCATGCCGTCCGCTTGCAAACAGCCAGAGGGTCTGGAAAGCTTCCTTCCTAGGGTCCCAGCCCCGCCGCCTCCTGACCTGGGCGCCCCGCCTCTGACCAGGAGGACTCCGAGCTCTGGGGGTCCCTCCTCCAGCCGCCCCAGCTGCCCGCTCACTCGCCCACGGTGGCCTTGTGACAACACTGCTCCCGTCTTCCCGATCCCAACCTCCACCAGTCCTTTCTGCTCCGGGGTCCTGAGCTCCTCGGCGTGGCCCGACCCGGAGGCCTCCACCCTGCCCCTCGAAGGCCCCGGCTGCCGGCGCCATCCCGGCCGGCCTGTCCGCAGGAAGGGGCCCTCGGAGGGAGCGGTCAGAGCTGGTTCTCGAGGTGAGCAGGCTGAGGGTGCTGGCAGCCTCAGTGCCCGCCCCAGGCGGGGGGGCCACGGGACACCCTGAGCTCGCCCCGTGGGGTCCCCGCACAGTGCGGCGGCCTCGGCCCTCGGGTGCGGTGGGCTGTGAGAACAGGTTCAGAGACACCGAAGTATGAAGGGCTCACTCGCAGTCACACCAGCGACCCCACGCCTCGCCCAGACCTTCCTCGTCCAGTCAGAGGACACATGGAGGCCTCCCTGCCCTCCCGGTCACCCCCCGGGCACAGGACTGAGCCTCGCCGACGGTAAGCGCGGGCCCCTGTGTCCGGAGACCCACCCAGAGCTCCCTCCGCAATCTCCACTCTCGGACCCAGACAAACCCTCTCTCGGGGTGACGGTGTTTGAGGTGTGATGCAGCCAAACCTGACACAAGGCAGCAGAGGCCTTGAGGGCTCAAAGCCTCCCGCCTGGCCCAGAGTCACCCTCCCGCCGGACCCAGGGTCACCCTCCCGCCTGACCCAGCTCCCAGGGTCACCCTCCCGCCTCGCCCAGGGTCGCCCTCCCGCCTCGCTCAGCTCCCAGGGTCGCCCTCCCGCCTCGCCCAGGTCCCAGGGTCGCCCTCCCGCCTCGTCCAGCTCCCAGGGTCACCCTCCCGCCTCGCCCAGGTTCCAGGGTCGCCCTCCCGCCCCCTCCTGGGATCCCACCTGCCACTCTGCCTCATTTCACAAAATAAAACTGAAGCCCAGAGAAGAAAGGACTTATCCAGGGTCAAGACTCGAACCCAGGGCTCTGTCTGGTAAACTGTTTTCTAACCCTCTCCTAACTGAGCGTGGCCGAGTCAGGTTCTCAGGGTGGGGCATGGATGCAAAGGAGAAACCTGGGCTCATCCCATCAGTGACCATCGGAGGCCCCTGGGGCCGAGCTGAGGGGCCGAGCGGTGGATAGCAGCAGCCTGAGGGGAGCTGAGGGAGGGCAGGAGGGGAGGGAGGCAGCCGTCCGTGTGGGCAGGACAGGCACAGGGTGCAGACGACGGAGGAGGAAGCGGTATGGGGGTGACGCGATCCCCTACCTTCCCACGAGGAGCTGACCCCTGTGCAGAGCAGAAGGTAAAGGGGCTGACTGGCCACACAGCCCACCAGCTCCCCCAGGGCTAGCAGGCACCAGGGGTGTGGGTTCATCTCATCCTCACCACGGCCCCTCAGCCTCCGCCTTTATAAACGGAGGTGCAGGGAGATGCTCAGGGACGGGCCACTGGGAAGCCGCGGAGGGGACCAGCAGCATGACTCACCCTGCCTCCCCGCACTCAGCTCTTGTAGGGGGTCACACGGCAGGGTCCCCTAACTCCTGGGCAACACCCAGCTGGCCTTGGGTTGAATCAAGCCACTTGGCCCTGAGCCAAAAGTCCACCTCCCTTCGATTGTCAACAAGATGGACAGACATGTGACCCTGGAGGGTCCTGCGTGCCCTCATCCCCAGGAAACGGGAACGACCCCAGCCTGGCAGGGTCCCCTCAGGACGGGGGACAGCAAGTGGACTGTTTGGATGCCTCTTTATGAGGAAAAAATACAAGACCGAATATAAAATTAAGTATGAAAGTGAACATTAAGAGTAAAGAAGTCACAACAAGTTGTACAACTTAAGAATCCAATAAGTGGCATGAGCATCAGATCCTAAAAATTAACAGACTGTTTTCATCAGAGGGCCGACTCGTCTCTCTCATGCTCTTGTTCCTCGTTTCCATCCCCCACCTGCTCTCTGACTGCCTCTTTGTAAAATGACAACTCTGCAATATTACTTTTCATTTAAAGAATGCTAATTCCGTCCAGCCGGTGTGGCTCAGTGGTTGGAGCATCAGCCAGTGGACTGAAGGGTCGAGGGTTTGAATCCCAGTCAAGGGCACGTACCTGGGTTGCAGTTTCGGTCCCCAGACCCAGTTGAGGTCTTGCAGGAAGAAACCAGTCGATGTGTCTCTCTCACGTCAATGTTTCTCTCCCTCTCCCTCCCTTCCACTCTGTTTAAAAATCAATGGAAAAATATCCTTGGTGAGGATTAACAACAAATAAAAGAATACTAATTCTGCCTTTCTTCCACCACTGGTGGTTGGAAATCTTTTAAAATGATAGGCAGCTTGGCCCTGGCCGATTTGGCTCAGCGGTTGGAGCGTCGGCCTGTGGTCCAGAGAGACCCGGTTCGG